CACATCTCCTGCCTGTCCAGAGCATCATAAAACCACAAACCCCCCACTCCTGGCCTGATCTCAGCTAAAATAAATGAGCACAGAAATGGGCAGAGCCACGAGGGCTCAAAGGAGTTGATCCACCAGCCCAATTAGCTGTGGCTGGTACCACCCCTGCAGTCACCCATCTCACCTGCCACAGCTGCAGCAGCTTCAGAAAGAAGCCCAGGGTGAAGAAGGTGGAATTTCAAAATAACTGGTTTTTTTGTTTTCTCCAGAGCAGGCGTGTGCCTGGCAGACTGGATCCCCTGCCAGGAAACATAATCATATACGAAAATTATTATAATGACTTGCAATCAGAAATTCTTCTGTTGGAACATCTTGTGACACTGCACAAGCAGTGATGAGTGAAAGCCCCTCTGTGAGGCACACCAGGATACCAGAGGCTAAACACCAACTGGCTTTAGGATGTCCATCTCCTTGGGCAGGAGAAGGTCTGGGATAAGTACAGGCAGTCCTGGCTCACTGCCTGCCCCTGGCTATGTGGTTTTAGCCCCAGTGGCTTGGGTTGGGGAGGCAATTTGTGATAAAAGCCCAGAACCTGACAGCAGAGCTCCTCCTCATGTCCATGTGCTGCACAAAAAGTAACAGGTTTTCCCCCCCCCAAACCCCTACAAAACTGAATACTGGACAAAAAATACATGTGAAGCTGCTATTGATCTTCCAGCCAAGGCTTGTGTTGAAAGGGCATTTTTTTCCGCTTACTGCACTTCTAAAAGCAGATGAGATATCAGAGACATCACAGCTCAGTTATATCTCCTAGAGACCAGCCAAACACCACATTAGGTGTGGGCAAGGCCAGCCAAGATAGTAAGAGAACCCACACAGATTTCAGCCCAGGCTGTACAATTAATTATTTTCCACAGTTTGGGCAGTGGAGTTGTCCCTGTCACCCATCCAGCCAAGCACATGTTTGAGGGGTCTCTCACTGGGCTTCTGTTTTCCTTTCTCACGAGCATTTTAATAGAGTATTTTGGACTTTGGGGCAGAAAAGTACTACATAGATTTTCCCACTGAAGTAAGAGGACTTTGGATTCCTAAATATCTGTCTAGAGTGGAAAATCAAACTGGCACCACTGCACAGAAGTGAACTTCCACCAGCCCGTGGTAGTATTCCTTAGGCTGTGATGTGGTAGTATTCCTTAGGCTGTGATTTCAGCATTTCACAGGAAATTGCTCTTTCAGTTTGAAGCCATTCCCCCTTGTCCTGTCACTCTGTCCCTTGTCCAAAACTCCTCTCCAGCTCTCTTGAGCCCCATTAGGTACTAGAAGGTGCTCTGAGGTCTCCCCAAAGCCTTCTCTTCTCCAGGCTGAACACCCCCAGCTCCCTCAGCCTGTTTCCATGGCAGAGGTGCTCCAGCCCTTGGGGCTTCTTCATGGCCTCCTCTGGACCTGCTCCAAGAGGTTCACATCTTTCTTGTGCTGAGGACCCCGAGGATGGACACAGCACTCCAGGGGTGGGGTCTCACGAGAGTAGAGGGGGGCATCGCCTCCCTGGCCTGCTGTCCACGCTGCTGGTGATGCACTCAGGGTGGGAGTGGCTCTCTGGGCTGTGAACACACATTGTCAGCTCATGTCCAGCCTTTCATCCTCCAGTACCTCCAAGAATTACTTCTCAGGGCTGCTCTGTATCTGTTCTTCCTCCAGCTTGTGTTGATACCAGGGGTTGCCCCAACCCAGGCACAGGACCTTGCTCTTGACCGTGTTGGACCTCATGAGGTTCCCACGGGCCCACTCCTCGACCTTGTCCAGGTCCCTCTGGATGAAAACTCTCTGAACACTCTCCCAATTGTTCTGTTTCAGGTGTGTGGGAAGCAATCCAAGTCCACCTTAATTAGCAGGGTGAGTTTGCCTAATTTGACAGGACTGTCCTGCTCCCAGCAGGCATCAAGGGGCATTTCCTCCTCACTTTCTGCAGGAATAAGATGCAGCCAGTAATTCCTCAATATCAAATCACTGCTCTACAACTCTGCAAGTATTTCTGGCTGTTTCCTGTCTTCCCACAGTGCTGCAATTGCTGCCCAAACAATCTCGTTTCTCAGTTCAGCAAGCCCTGCTCAGACTGCCACTGCATGTTATCTATCATTATTTATCTATAGCTTTGATCAGAAGTGAAGGGGGGCAGCAAAGGCAGGGCAAGAAAGCGTGTTTTAACTGAGTCTGGTTGATTTTGGCTTAGGAATTATAAGTCAGTCAGAAATACAAGATGCTGAGCCAGCCTTCTGGGATACTGGGGACCACTGCAGTCAATCCTAAGAGTCAATTCAAAGATGAATATTGACCCGTTCATGACAGGGGGTATATCAGATCACTGTCACAGGACTGAAGGGGTCTCCTTCATCCCGAGCCTTACATCCCCATGCAGTTCTTCAGCATAAAAACAGCCTTAAAATTGATTTTAAGTGCTTGCTTGTGAACTGTCTAACCCCAACACTTACAATACTAGTGGCAGAACTAAAGTGAGCAAAACCAAGCTGTCACTTAAAAAACACGGCAAAGCAGTGGGCTGGCTTCCAGGCTGCCACGCCCCACACCGGCTCCAGGCTCAATGAAATTATGTTACACATTTATATCCACTCCTTAGTGAGGTACTTGCCTATTATAGGGCAATAAAACCCCAACCTGACTCAGATCTTCAGCTGGTGCGAGCCCAGGTTGACTAGAGCTGTTTTCCCTTCCTGTTTATCTGTGCAGTAAAACACTGAGGCTGTTTCCAGTTCTTCCACAGGGGTGTAAAACGGGGAGAGAGATGGGTTTTCCCACTTACCTGCACTGACAAGGTAGCCCAGGTTTTCCACCGAAGTCCAACAGAAGCAAATCTCTTTTTAACCAGATGGCTCCAGTCAAAGCCTTCGAGGCCTGCAATAAAAATGACTAAGGAGTGTTATCTCTGGTGTGCCTTGATTAAAGCCCTTTTATATTCCTCTCATGGCACCGGCGGGTCCGTGCAGGCACCCAGCCAGCTCCTCAGCCCCAGACGTGCCCATGGAAGCTATCCCAGCTGGCTGGAAAGCATAACCTAAGGAAATTTGGGATTTGGACTGCCTGCACCCAGCCCAGCATGACTTATTGTGCAGGATCCCCATCCTAAAAGCCCAGACCAGCTCTGTCCTACACCTGTGAGCCCCTCTTGTTACCTGGGGCTGGACAGGTTAGGAGATCTTTGAGTCACCAGGGTCTCCAAGGCTCAGGGGTGGTCACAGTCCTCCTCTCTCCTCCCCTATCCCCCCTCGCCCTTCTTCAGGAGCCCAAAAATGGACAGAGGCAGGAGGATATTTCTCTCCCCATTTTTTGGCTTCCTAAAGAGGCCCACTTTCAGCTCCCATTTTACCATCTCCATGTCTGGAGAGGTCAGAAGAGGTTGGGTTGCCCCACTGTGGTGACTGTTAGGGTCAAAAGGGATGGAAAACTGGGAATGGAAAGTGATGGGAATACTTCAGGCTGTTGTAACAGCAGCGTGGGATTGCAAAGGATAATTCAAATGCTCTAGCACTTGCAGGGATAACCAGGGGTGATCTAGCTGGTCACTTCCAAGGTCCCATCTTTCCTGTGGAAGCTCACCTGTGGGCAATGCCATGTGCTCTTTGGGAGGCATGCTTGAAGCCAAAAAAAAAGAGATTTTATGGAAGGGATGAGGGACTTGGTCCGGGGACGGGGAAGCCACATCTCCAGCATCAGACTGGACCAGGTCTGGCAGGCAGGTCAGGGAGCAGCATCCTGGTGTGGGGAATGATGATACCCACGTGCAGACCCAGGGCTATACGTCCCCTCTCATCCATATGTCTTTGGCATGTGTTAATCTTAGGAGATTTCCTAAACCGTGCCCCCCCTCCGACGCCTCCCCTCCACACACACACAGGTGGCTCATCAGCAATGAGAAAAGCCCCAGATTAACCTATCTGACACAACAGAGCCTGTCTCACCACTTGGAAGGAGGAATACATCCTGGATGTGTCAAACGCAGCCCGGCTGCCGGGGCTGGAAAAAAGCAGTTATTACTGCAAACTCTATATACATTATTTATCAAATGAAGTCTCTGCAGCAGGACTACGATTCATTTCTCTGCTCTGGCTTCCTCATGCTCTCTTTGGATGTCTTTTCAATGGGACATGATAGAAAATCTTTGCAGGCTCCTTGAGGTCACTGACCCAAGGCTGTTCCCCTCTTCAGGAGCAACTGCAGGTCCCCAAAACTGACCTGGGACAAGCTTTGCCCAAGGAAAATCACCCTCTAACAACAGCCAGCTCCACCGTGGCAGCTTTGCTCCAGCCTCAAATCTGTTCCACGAGTATTTGCTGCTGCTCTGAATATTCCAGGGAAATAACAATGGTAAAGCAAGTAGAAAATATCAATTATTGGAGGGTTCAAACAGCGCAAACACTGTTACTACCTGCCAGGTTGCATATGTGTGTAAATCAGCCGTAACGTGCTGTTTAGCTTGAGCACTATATTAGAAAAGAAGGAAAATCTGACTTGTTTCCAGTATGGGGGGTTATAAAGCAGGGGGGGAAAGTCACAGCACGCACAACCCTGATCACATCAGCTCTGCTTCATTTCTGTGGTGTAAAATTACACATCTGGGGGGAAAATTAATGCAAAAACTCACCAGATGAGCGTTTCTTTTCCACCCCCCTAACTCTGTGTCAGGGTATAAATGACACAGCAAACCAGAAAGCGAGTTAAAAAAATTGTGCTCATTTGACTTCAGCAGCTGGTTCTGCTTTTACAGAAAGCAAACTGAGTTCCTGGGCGCTTCTGCTCAGGGTTCCCAGGCAAAAATGCTGCAATATACTAATTATGGTTGGAAAAAAAGTCAGAGTAGTAGCAGTGATTTTCCTCTGCTGGTCCACAGCACTGTTACCCATTTAAACGTGGTCGGGGTGATTATACGGGGTGACAGAGGTTAAGGTGCATCCAATTTCTTCAACGTGACTTTGCACTTCATTGCACCCTCCCTCCTCCTCATCAAGCCTTGTGCTCCAGGTGTGCTGGGGGTGACGGGAGGCAGCATTTTGGTGGTGGAACATCCCAGGCTGGGCTGTTTGCATCCTCTTCGGCTCGGCCCCGAGGAGGTCTGGGTTGACTCGCCGACTCTAATGCAACATGACAGCCCAGCCCCAGCCAGACGAGCGTGAGGACTTGCTGCCGGTGCCTGGGTTGAGTGCTGGGAGCAAACGGGGGAAAAGCCTCGTGCCCACGGCTGAGAGTGATCCCGATCTTGCCGGCTGGTTACGGGCTGTGGGGTCACAGCGTAATTGGGGTGAGATGAGTGAACCGTGGAGGCTCTCACGCCTGGTTTTCTCCGGGCAGGAGGATCAGTGGATATGGCACTGAGCGGTCCTGCCTTACCCTGACATCCACAAGTCCCTGCCTGTGATTAGACAGACATACAGACAGAGGCATGATGCCGAGGGGGGAATGAGAAGGTGTGATAGAGTCGTGGCTGTTGGGGAGGGAGAAGAAAGGAGGTTTGTCCGTCCGGGGCAGCAGCACTGCTGCAATACTGTTTTAGCACAGCCCACACTGTGCAGGTCCTACAGTACCCTCCAAAATTAATTATCAGTGCCCCTGCTGAAGATAAAACTGAAATCATATTTATTTTTGTGCTTACATTCTAGTTGCCATGTAATTAAGTGCTACCACGTAATTAAAGAGGATTTAGAGGATATTTATGCCCTGCAATGCTCCATAATTACAGTTAATTTCTTCTTTACGGCTCCCGAGCATCTCAGGTGGAGCTCTGGGAGCCACCAGGGCAGGGAAAGTGGCCATCATGGGGCTTGGAAACACAGTGCAGAGCTTTAGCACTGAAGGGCAGCATCTTGGAAAGGTCTGGCCCCATCCCAAAATCTTTCTTTAGAAATTTAATCCCTCCCCAGGCACAGGGGAGGAGCGATGGCCCAGGAGCATCCTTAGTGGCAAATGGGGTTGCCAGTGAGAGCAGAAGCAGGAGATATCCCAGCCTCTGCCCCCAGCTCTCCCTGGTAAAACTGCTCTAACTCCCAGAGACACCATGTAAGGATGAAATAAACCCTTCTGCAACATGCAGGCCTGCTGAGGGGGGATTTATTTCATAGCTGAGTGTGAATAAATATATGGTGTGAAGTGCAGAATGTGATGACTTTTCACAGGCAGGGGCTCCCGGAGGACGGGGCTGTCCTGGCAGCAGGGCAGCCGAGGCCATCTCCAACAGATATCAAATCTTAGTGCTTAAGGGGCCAGGCTACCAAATACTCACATGCCACAACTCAAATCACATAAGGAGGGACGGAACAGCTCAGTTTTAGTAGTCAGAAACCACCATCAGGAGCTGGGAGTTCAGGCATCACCAGACCAGGGTGTCACATATGGACCCAGAAGGGAGAAGGACACCCTCCTCCAGAACACTGAACACCGTGGGCCTTTAAATTGGCATTAGAGGATGGAGGCAAGTGTCTGAACATAAGCTGTGATGTGCTGCAGCCCAGCATTGCCCACAGAGCACTAGGGCCAAAGAGGTGCAGACAGCAACCAGGCCATGCCCAAGCTCACTGCTCATGGCTTTCATTATGAAATCAGGTGTCCACCTTGGCTTTCAGTGCAAAATTAGGTGCCCACCTTTGCAAGCCCATCACGTGAGTGAATTTTGCACTAAGCACATGGGTTTTTGTGATGTGTGGTTGAGCACAGTTGCTTTGAAGGGGGAGTTGATAACGTACCTGCAGACAGTCAGCACCGCAATTTGCTCAGTAAAATGCTGGAATGGGCTCAGATTAGAGCTGGCACCCTTGCTAATATGAGACTTAACCCAGTGATTGCCAGATTTTACAGGGGAGTGGGTGGGAGGCAGCAGCTGAATGAGGTGACATGAAGCAAGACACGCCAGATCCAGGCTTTACCTGTTAATGGGAAAATGAAAGGAGATTCCCCCAAAACCTTTGTGCTAAGCTGCTGCCTGCTTTCCTGTGGGAGTTTATAGAGGCTATTGATACATTCCATGACAATGCAATAAAAGAGTATGTAATGAAAGCAAGACAGAACGTAGGCTGCAACGACAGAGGCTTGTGTGAGTTATTAAGCTGGCAGCATTCGCAGTCAGTTGGGGGAACTATAGATTTCTTCCTCCACAAATAGTTAGGGAACACTGGTAAAAGCAACAGAGTATTTCATCCTTAAACATGTAATCAGTCAGCAGGGTGAAAATCATTCCCTCTCCAAAGGCTGCTTGGTGACAGCATGGAATGACTCAGTTGTTTCTCCAGCATGGTGCAAGTATCCCTGTTGGTCCTCAGCTCTGGCCCCGTGAGTCCACAGGGTCTGGCCTTCAAGTAACCAGTGTCATGGGGGATGCTTTGCTCCTCTAAGCTTTCCATCTCCTTTAATTCCCCCAAAATCCTGCAACAGGCTGTGTTTAGAGCAGCGATAAGGATTGCAATTAAGCAGAGGGTGCAGAAGGAGTTGATTGGGGAGAGGGCTCTGTTTGCTTGCACATAGCAAAGACCTTTGCTCTGCCACGAAGCCAAGGGAACTGCTGCAATGAAAACCTTTTCAAACAGATAAACTACACATCAGTAGATCAGTAATAACTGGGAGCCAGTGCTTTATCCCCTCAGAAAGCTGCAGGAGGGGTCTGCAGGACACGCTGCATCTCTACATCTGCTCGGGAGGGTCCTACTGGTGCAGACCAGTCTCGTGACACCAAATTTGCAGCAGTTTCAAGCTGCTGAGGAGCTGACCCAATTATTTCCGCTATTTCTCTGTTAGCAGCTGATGCAAAGCAAATTCTTTCCAGTGAGACGGGAAAAATCACAAGAGTTTCTTGCTGAATCACAAAGCAAAGCAAAAGCAAGGCATGCACCAGAGAATCCTAGAATCATTCAGGTTGGAAAAGACCTCAAAGATCGAGGTCTAACCATTCCCCCAGCACTGCCATGCTGACCACTAAAACATGGCCCCAAGGTGTCACATCTACATATTTTTTAAATCCCTCCAGGATTGGGGACTCACCACTTCCCTGGGTGCCAGTGCTTGACAACACGTGCTTCCCCGTGGGCACATCCCCACCTGCCATGGCTGGAGGACTGTGGTACCCAGGAGCCATTTCAACATTGATCTAATAACGAGGCTGAGGGACAGGAGCTGTGAGTTGCCCCTAAACCAGTGAGTACTGCAGCCTCTTTTTGGAGATCCTAAAAAACTCCAGAGTTGGGCTTCAGAGCTTGCAGTGCAATCCACTTCAGTTACCCAGCTGTCTGATCACCTTGGAATGGAAAGTGTGTGGCTGGGAAGCCAACCAGGGGACACCATGGAGCTGAAGTTCCTTCCCCATGAGCCCAGGAGGAAAGCAGCATGAAATGCATCTCACCCTAACATGGAGCAGGCATCATCTGCACTGAGCACTTGGGTATCTCCGGGGTGGTTTTGGGAGCCTTGAAAACCATCCATCAGGGTTTTTTTTTTTTTTTGGAATATGGGAAACCTCCAACACAATTTTCAAGAGAGAAGTCCAAATAATACGCTTGGGGGGCTTCCCGCACCACCGTACCCTGGGCTCGCTCCCACCATTAGCAGCAGCGGGAGCAAATCCATCACAGAGGTCTGGCTCCTGCCAGCTGAGCTCCGACAGGGAACACATCACAGCTCCAATCAGCCAGCCTGCGCACCGCTCAGGGACTGCTCAGGGTGTTAGCAAATACCTGCCTGCTCCTGCTGTGCCGAGGAATTGGGCAGCGAACTCCACATCTTGATGGTTTGTTGGTCAGCATCAAGGGTGAGAGCAGGGCTGAACTCCAGATAGATCTGATTGTCCAGTCTGTCATCTGCATCAAAAAGTAGGGCTTGGGGTTTATCTGGTGTTCAGGAAAAGGTAATGCAATAAATGCATATAAATAGGTATATATACACATACATCTCTATGTCCTCTAGGTAGATTAAAAGGTTTCTCACCCAAAACAAAATGTTCACTTCATTTTCACATCTTTAGTAACTTCAAAGACATTTTAATACACAATATCTGGTTGAAGAAACAAATGTTTTCATTTTTCAAGCATCTTCCCAAGCAGAATTGAGCTTCTTTCTTTCTTTTTTTTTTCTTTTTTTAACCAAAGCAATTGACCAAAACTGGCATGAAAATAGAAATATTGTTGGACCATCCAAAAATTACATTTTCCCCTCAAAAATGCCAGAGATAACACCACTGCCACCACTGTGCAGATCTGATGTCTCTTCACCCATCCTGCAGCAGCCCCTGGGGCACAGCTTGCATTTGCTACGTTCATATTGCTAAGTAATAAAAAGGGGGCTGCAGATGCTGCTGGGGGACACAGTGCTGCATTTTGGGGGGATTTTGCCCCCCCCCAGACTGCTGCCACACCATTAATGACTTTCTCAGCACAGCTGCTCCAAGCATCACCACACACAGGTTTCCTTTTGCATTCCCAGCACTGAGCTGCTCACACAGATACAGCCCATCAGCAAAATGTAAAAATAGCTGAAAATATATAATTAGCGTGGATGCACTGTGGACTTAATAGGGTTTTTCTATTTCTTCCTTCGCTGGCCCATTAGACACAAATCCTGGATGGAGGGAGGCCACTGGGGAGGGAAAGGGAGCGCTTTGCTGTGGAATGTGTTTGGCAAAACACTCAAATATTTTCCTCAGTTTTATATTGTCTGTGGTTTTTATTGAGCACCACACAGAAACTGCAGCAGATTGATTCTTTCACAGCTCCCCAAAGTTGAAATGCTTTGGAGCTGAGAGCTCAGTGCCTGCCAAACTTCATAATTAACTGTAATAACTCTTTAATTTGAACTTTAATTCAAACACCCATGTTTCTGGGGGACTGGAGGGGAAAAAAAAAATAAAGCAAAGCAAATCAAGTGTAACCAGTTCTGGTAAAATAAAGCAGCAGCCAGAAGCTTGTGCTGTGCCAGAGGCAACCGGAGGTCAACCGTCCTATCCTGGGTTGAAACGACCACAGAAATTGGCTTCTATTCATCATATCAGGAGGGAAAAAAAATATATAGTCCTGGATCTATTAACTCAGTCAAGGGTTTCTAATGGTTCTGTCACTGCAGCGTGAGACGGACTGGGAAGCTCCAGGAGCACATGGAAACAAGGAACCCAAAGGAGGACTGTTCATGCAACTTCTCTTCCCAGGCAGACAAGTCCTGAGCTGTCAGAGTGTGCACACAGCTCGGGAGCTCTGCCAGCCAACCCCCTGCACTAACCCACCTTGGCTGAGCTCAGCATGATGGCTCCTTCGGGGAAAAGCAAATCATTGACAGGAGGAGCAGGAGATGAGCAGGACCAGACAGGGAATGGAGATGACAGACCCTGGGAATGCATCCACAAATTCAACAGGGCTTCAGAGCTGTCAGCCCAAGCCTCCAGGAGGAAGTTGAGGATTAATAGGGATGTATGGCTCAAATGGTCTGCTCCGTCTGAAGGACACCAAGGAGCATCCACCTGCCCTGCAGGACCTGTGGATTCCTGGACCTGGATTCCTGCAGGACCTGGTTTGAGCCGGAGTCACCCCAAACCGAGGTGACTTTCCACTATTTCACAACAAAGAGCCCGATGAGCGGCACTAAGCCTGATCCAGCACCTAATCAATGCAAGATTACTTTTTCTTTCCTTTTTTTTTTCTTTTTCCATTCCCTGATCCTTTTTCTAACAATAATAAAAACGAGAAAGCTCCCTAGCATTATGCCACAGGGATGCCACCTTTCCCACAGCTTCACGCCCTGTCCGAGGGACTGGAGGGGGGTGCCGGGATTTGCCTCTCAGAGTCGAGAGCTGGGCAGCTGTGATGGATGTACCGATAAGGAGACTCGGATCGATGAGCCTGCCAGCTCCTACCAGAAAATGAATGGCTTTCACTCTATGGGTTACAGAGTCGTTAACTACCCAAGCCGATCGCTGTCATTAACGAGTGATCTCCGCCGTGTATCTGCTCAGCTCTGCTTTATTTACCGGCCTATCCCCCACTCCCTCTTTCCTGCATCCACACAGGACCCTTCTCCCCCCATGCAGTTGTGCTCGCAGACAGGCTCTGGCGTCTCTGTTGAGCCAGGCTGGATCCGAAGAGCGGAGAGGGGAAGGATTTCATTTCCCCATGTCTAAGCTGTTCCTGTAATGCTGCAAAGAGTCTTGCTTTGAAGCTCTGGCCCGGCTCGGCACAGCTGGCTCATGGCCACAATTACTTCCACTGCGAGCACACACAAAAAGCCGAGTGAGAGGCCAAGGAGTGGGTAGTCAGCTTGGAACGAGTCAATCAGAGGCAGCCGGCGCTAATTAGTCCCTGTGCCATTCTCTGTCACAGCCACCCTATTACGCAGGGACAAGAAGTCTCTCCGTGGGTCAGCCAGGGCCACCCAGGAGCCACCGGAGAGCCCAGAGGGCAGAGGAGGATTTGAGGGAGTCAGTCTGAGTGTGCAGCCCTGAGTTGCCACTTACGGAGCACTGATCCCACCCCTCTCACCCCTTCCCACTGTCATGTCCGGTGCCCTCCTTCTTGCTGTCTTCTACCAGAGCCACTCCACTGCAGAGTTATTTCCATTTTTCTTGCTTTTCCTAAAACTAGGAAAAAAAAGAGAGCCTACCAAAGGAGTCCCAAGTGCCCGATCACGAGAAGCAGGTATTAAGCAGGGAGCCAAGAAGAAAAGTGCAGCAGAAATATTGCAGTAATATGGGATGATAACCCTGCAAATGCTGTGAGGGGGTTTTCTGGAGTAGCGTGGTATTGTAGGAGAGAAATCAGGAAACAAATATTGTCATTCAGCAGCAGGGGAAGGGAGAAGGCAGGGCTGTTCCCTGGGGAGCCAGAGAGGAGCTACAGATCAGGAGAGCCATTAGAAGTAAGGGATGGCAATTGCTCGAGATTATGGCACTGGCAGATAACGGCAAAGTCAGACGTGGTGAGTGGCCTGGAGCAGAGTATTTGGCGCTTCGTTAGTACCAGATTAACTGTTTCCTGAAACAAAAAGTAATAGCAACAAGAATCTGTCACTGTTCAAGGGCTATGACAGGGTCTCCCCCCCCAGCCATGGGTTGTTTAGGCTCCACCAAAGCCAGCAGGACTGCGTGGGGGTCAAGTGAGCCCCACATGTGTCTGGACAACTGCCCAGAAGGACTTGCCTCTCTGTGCTGAGCAGAGTCTAAGGGCTAACACCAACCTTGCTCTTTTCCTTCTGTGTCCCCAGGTCCTCCCCGCTCTCAGCTGACCAAGGCTGGCTTAGAAGGCTGTTTCCTCTCCCAGGAAAATGGGGACTGATAGTGAAAACCCAGTCCTGAGGAATGTGCTCATCAGCTTCAACTTGCTCCTGCTGGGCGCTGTCCTCAAGCCTTTTGAGTGCCGGCTGGAGGCGACAACGGAGCCGGCCGAGAGGACAGCGGTGGATGAGGCGGGTGGCCTTGCCAACTGCAGCCCACCCATCAAAGAGCAGCCCATGGTCTTCCACCACATCTACAACATCAACATCCCGCTGGACAGCTGCTGCTCATCCATGTTCAAGTCTTCGGGCGAGGAGGTGAGTTCAGAAGACGACCGGCTGGCGGAGTACACGGAGCAGACCTCCGACAGCGAGAGCCAGGTCACCTTCACCCACAGGATAAACATGCCCAAGCAGGCCTGCAAGTGCTCCACCTCCCTCCCGTCCCTGCAGGAGCTGCTGAGCAGGATTGAGATGCTGGAGAGGGAGGTCTCCATCCTCCGGGACCAATGCACCTCCAATTGCTGCCAAGAAAATGCAGCCACAGGTAGTAACAACATCCTGTTCGCTCTTGCTGGGGACTGAGGGCTCGAGCAAGAGGCAGGAGAGAGAAATACAAAACCTGGTGGTGCCACTCAGAGTGGTGATGGAGGTTCACCCATGATGGGGCTCTGCTTTAGTGGAAAAGCTTGGCTCAGGTCCTCTAGGGCAGGAGAACCCCTGGGAGGGATTTGGTCACTTGAGTTGGGATGCCACGCTTGCTGCATAACAGCCAAAGTTAAAGTCCCTTGATGGATAAAACTGCAGCTGGTCAGGTGGGAGCAGGGGGATTTTCCAACCCTGCAGTCCCTCAGACACTGTTAGACACCAGCCACTGCTCGTGGGACAGGGAGCAGAGACAGAGCTGCTGCTCTCCTAAGCTGTCCCTGGGCTGAAGGCAGCACCATGGGAGCTGGCAATAAACCCCTTCATCTTCTCTGTAGGAGGAGTGATTGCATCTGAAAAGCTGAGTTTAAAAAAAAAGGAATAAAAAATACAGAGAAGAGCTCCTCTTGCCATGAAAGATGCAAACAAAACCTATAAAAAAGGCATAAAACCATAAACAGGATATTTCATCCGAATAAAAATATGTGCTTTTGTGAAGCTCTCCAAGAGGCCCCATTAGAGTCGAAGACATCCCCTTGTTTCACCTAAGCTGCCCTTCAGAGCCAGGGAAGCAGGCATGGAGCTGAAATGAGATGGGTTAGGGAAGGTTTGGGCTAGAAGCTGCATTTCAATGGCACAGGAGGCAGCAAACTGATAGCTTTCCTTAAGTCTTGAGGAAGAGGGGCTGTCCCTAAGGCCATCCATCCCAAATGCAGCACAGCCCTGCTTGTGCCATGCCAGGGATCCTTGCAGGGAAGAAAACACCAAAAGGGACAAACGCACAGGGCATCTTTCCAGTGGGAAACTGCTTCTCACACCAAGAACAACAGGGAGGAAGAGAAATTTAAAGTAACCCTTTTCCCTCCACTGCCTACTGTTTTTTTTAAGTTTTGCAGCTATTAGTGTGACTTTTCTAGTGGTACCCCAATTCCTCTATGTGTAGAACATACTAAGATGAAATGGGTGCAACCCACACTCACGTTAAGAGTTGGACCAAGGGTGTGTGGGTCGGGGAGGGAGAAACCAGAATGGCCATGCAGCAGGGTGGCTGGGGCTGGAATCTCCAGCACAGCCAGTGGAAGTCAATGCATTCCCAGCTCTGGGTTCAGCTCACATCTCCCCTCAACGTGAAAGTCAGCAGCTGCATTAACAATTAAAACAGAAAACACTGGTGTGTGCAAAGCGAGGGTTAAAATCATGTAGGAAATGCTGTGGGGAAAACCTGTTTTTCCTGAATTCATTTGAAACTCTGATGGGCCTATTTGGGTTACTTGCAAACATGCAGACAGTCCCATTAAACATTCATTGCTCGGTGGAGTCTCCACTCCCATCGCAGATGGGCTGAGCTAGCCGAGATAAAACTGGAGTAATTTCATTTATTTTTACCGGAGTTGCTTTCAATTCACTGCACTGCGAAGGAGATCAGGATCCCTACCCCACTGCCTGAGGCATTTCCCCGAGGAAAGCCTCTTTCCTCCAGCACACTTACTTACAAGCATCCTCTCTCCTCTTGATAACTTAACTAGAGGCTGAGATCTGAGCAGATCCTGACTGGCATTCCCAGTACTTGCAGTTTGGATGGGAATTGTCCTGCAAAGTAACCCAAAGGGGTCTGTCTGGCACAGCATGCAACTGAGCCCCTTATAAAAGTGCATCTGCTCACCCCACATAGGAGGAGCTGTTTGGATGAGTCAGCTAGGGTGGAAAATTTATATGGGGGACAAAGAGTCCTGGGGCTTGGGGTTCTTCCTGATGCAGAGGTTTCCCTGCATCAGGTTGGAGGAATCACTGTTCTTACTCAGTTCACATAAGGAAGAAAAGCGATAAAAATCAGCAAGGAAAAATTAGCCTGGTTGGGACAAACCCTAAGATGGAGCAATTGGTCCCTGTTTGGGGGGAAAACAGGGGAGCATTGGCAATATCAGTGACTGGTGCCTTGGTCCCCATGCATCCCTCCTCACTCCAGAGCATCCTGTACAAGGCTGCCATGTGAAGAGGGGACATTAGCGGTGGTGGCCATGGTGTCCATGTGGTTCCCCTGCTTTCCCGCAACCCCAGCATGCCCAAACCCCTGACACTTTGTGCAAAGCCAACAGCTCTGTCTCAACCAGGCTCACCAGGATAGGGATGAAGAGCATGTCTTTGGGCACATATCTGCTTCTCACGGGAGAGAGAGTGAGCAGACCAGGATCTCTTGCCTGTAAAAAAGTGGAGATGAGACCAGAGGAGCCATAGCTGGCACAGAGGGTTTGGCCAGGGAAGGTTTTTTTTTTCAGGAAGAGGGTTAGGGATGTTCCTATCAACTGAGTGCTGAGTTGAAGAGAAACCAAAGGGAGCACTCTCATTGCAACGAGGCTGATGGCAGCCATAGTTATGGAAGCCACTGTTCCCTAGGGAAAGATAACCTCCTGGAGATCTACCCAAAACCCACCACGACCCTGTATCACCAATTCTGCCCCTTCCAGCCCTGCAGCCACCAGCTCCCAGAGCTGGGCGTGCTCAAATAAAGGAAGGACTTGCCTTCCCTGCTTGCCTCACACCTCCCCTCCCTCCCCCAGCCCATCAAAGGGCTGACCTGAGACCAGCACTGACCTTTCTCCACCTCCCCCGCGGTGGGCTCTGACCCTCGGTCCTGCATCCTTGCAGGGCAGCTGGATTACATCCCGCAGTGCAGCGGCCACGGGAACTTCAGCCTGGAGTCGTGCAGCTGCGTGTGCATGGAGGGCTGGGCGGGCAGCAACTGCTCCGAGCCGCTCTGCCCGCGGGGCTGCTCCAGCCGCGGCGTGTGCCTGGAGGGCCAGTGCATCTGCGACAACGACTACGGGGGCGAGGACTGCTCCCAGCTCCGCTGCCCCGCCGGCTGCGGCTCCCGCGGGCTCTGCGTGGACGGAGAGTGTGTCTGTGAGGAGGGTTTCACCGGCGAGGACTGTTCGCAGCTGCGGTGCCCCCGCGACTGCTCGGGGCGGGGGTACTGCGTGAACGGCACGTGTGTGTGCCAGGAGGGCTTCGCCGGCGAGGACTGCGGGTGGCTGCACTGCCCCAACGCCTGCAGCGGCCGCGGGGTCTGCAGGGACGGGCTCTGCGTCTGCGAGGAAGGCTACGAAGGGCAGGACTGCTCAGCAGGTAGTGGGGGCATGCACGGGGAGAGCCAGGCATGAGTGTACAAGCGAGGGTTTCGAGGTGCCCAGAGTCCCATAGGAGCACCACGAAGCCTGGAAGAAACCCATACCCAGCAGAGCACATCACGTAGGACACGCTCAGGCCCCACAGTTTGAGTGCCTCCCTGTTGTCTATGTCTCCAGAGACTGGACAGTTAAATCTCTGGGAGGCAAGCAAAAAGCCAGCGAGGTTCATCCCAAAATGGGGGCTAAACCCCTGGTGCAACTGCGGCTGCAGTCAGGTTCTCCTGAGCCTTTACCTTGCTGTAGCTGTTCATACACCCACAGAGAGCACGTAACCCCCAGCCCAGAGCCTGTGTCCCACCAGCAGACCCACACACCCTCCCACGCAGCCACGTGCAAGGATAAGCCACGCACAGCCTGACACTCTTCTCTCTCTCTGCCCTTCCCACCAGTGGCTCCTCCTGAAAACCTGCGAGTGACAGGGATCAGTGACAGCTCCGTGGAGCTGGCGTGGGACAGCGCCGGGGCAACCACCGAGTACGTGGTGTCGTACCAGCCAGCGGTGCCAGGGGGCACCCAGCTCCAGCAGCGGGTGCCTGGGGACTGGAGCAGCATCACCATCACGGATCTGGAGCCTGGTGTTACCTACAATGTCAGCATCTACGCAGTCATCAGCGATGTCTTGAGCATCCCTGTTACCTCCAGGGTGATGACCAGTAAGTATCCTACTGCACTTGTCGCTGGGTACCCGTGTATCCAGAGGGGACGCTCAAGCTGGCTCACATTTTCCATAAAAACCTTCTAGCAGCAGAAACTTGAGTCTTTAAAAAAAAAAAACACCAAAAACAAAAAAACAAAACTGGGGATATTTTTATCCCTATTTATGGCTGTATGGGGTTACAGGAAAGGGGGAAATATGTCCACCCTCTTCAGAAAGAGTCTAGATGAAAATCTGAATATCTAAAAACCAAAAAAAAAATTTCAGTGCTTGATTGAAGCCCCCAGAATATGGGGGGCAATAGTGCAGCAAGAGGGGATGCTGCTGTGCATCAGGAGTTACACAGTACTCACCAGGACTGCGATACACAGAGGAAAACAAGAGTATCAAGCCGTAATGGCAATCTCCAGAAAGGATCCTAGGAAACTAAGTAAGGATACAAGAGGGCAGGGGGAAAACAGAAACTATCCAGACCTTTGCAAAACCCCTTTGCAATCCCATCATCCACTGTGTTCAGACAATAGTGTAGTGGGATGCTTCAGTGTCCAGCAGCCCAGGAATTTCCCCCTTTTCCATCCAACCCACCTGGAGGGGGGGCAAAGGAACTTTGCTAACAGCTACCAAAAGGTTCCCTATTTTTGTTGCCCTGATAACAAAATACCCACAGGGAGCAGGGTGGGGACGGGCAGCACCCACACACCCATCCCACTCTGCTCACCACCCCTACCCCTGCTCCCTTCCAGACCTCGCCACGCCGCAGGGGCTGAAGTTCAAGACCATCACAGAGACGACAGCAGAGGTGCAGTGGGAGCCCTTCTCCTTCCCCTTCGATGGCTGGGAGATCAGCTTCATTCCCAAGGTACCGCTGCTGCACTCGTGGCATCACGGGGTACACCTAAAGCACCAAGCTAGCAGATCCTAAATCAGCTTCCAATTACCCCTTTCCCAAAATACCCAGCCTGTGTTTGCCATTTGCTTGCTGCACATCAGACACCCCAAACACTGCCAGCCTGCACTTCCCCAGTAGTTTTGACATACATGTCCTCAAAGAAATCCCCCCCCCCAAAATCCAGAGACAAGCTTATAAAGAAATAAACCTTCCAGCCTCTTGCTGTCACCCCCTCTCTTTCCCTTCCACCTCCTTTGCCGTGACCCTTCCTCCTCCTCCTCTTCCTCTCCCCTGCTCTCTACACCAAGCTCCCCAGAGCTGCCTGGATCAAACCGAGCAGCTGCCAGCTCTCAGACAACAACCTTCAACATCCCCGAGTCACACGCACAGCTAATTCCTGCCACGGAATTTTAATGGCAGTGATGAACAGGTAGAAATTGTGCCAGAAAAGATGGATAAAAATGTTGCCCTAAATATCGCATATTTTCTGTGCGCGGCGACAAAAATCGTACATCAAGTATTTCATCTATATTCATAATTTCTACACCATTTAGCCATAAGTATAGCTTCAATTGTATGTGGAGCCTCTTTTCAAGAGCATTCAAGCCCCAGCAGTAAAAGAAATGCTGATTAAGGGCTCAATTATGACATTTTCACTTGTACAAAACCCTTGCTGGAATCAAAGGCAGCTCTGGGCAGCGGGGAACTGCAGAACTTGGCCCCAAAGTTTTAAATGCTCTTAACTGTAAAGTATCATTACACAGCACAAAGCAGGGGCCCAATTGCTTTAAATAACTCAGTTCCCTCATTTCCAAAGAGGCTGGAAGGTTCTTGGTGCAACACTATTTGCATGTGGACGTAGCCAACATTGCGAGTTGAAGTTCAGGTAGTGCAGGTATAAACTCTGGGATAATTTTCACTCATCATCAGGAGAAAAGCTGAAAAGTATGGCAACATCAGGAAAGAGCTTTTGGTGGGAAAAAATAGCTCCCTTTCAAACATTCACTGATACTCAGGAATTAAGCTCAACAGCATCTCCTTGAAGCAGACAGATGAGGATATATCCCTTTTAGGGTGAGGAATCACCAGGATAGAAGCAAACCTCTCCCCACAGAGTCACCAACAATAGGTTTTTGCTCAAGCTCACCCAAAAATGCAAATCATTGGTCCTCCTTTCCGTTTTCAATCTTAAAACTTAAAACCACATGGAAGTCTTTTGGGATTTAAAGACAGATAAGATGCAAAAGTCTGGCCGTTCCCAGATGCAAGGTTTTGGGTAGAGAAGGGACATAACTCACTGGGCTTTGAAGTTCTCACATCCATTGGCCAAGTACAAGGTCCTGCACCAGAAACTCACAGTCATGCTCTTGCCTGTCAGCTGCCAAAACTGGACTCTCCATCACCAGCTTTTCCCCTACAATAAGGCAGAGGGTGCTGTGTCCTTCACTGCCTGCAAGGAATACTTGCCTGAGAACATGCCACACCCAAATAAACCCAAAACCTAGTCCCAGAGGCTAAAACCAATGGAGTTATAACAGCAGTGTCACAAATAACCTCTGTGAGGAAAACTGAGCTCCCTGTCTTCCCAAAAACTCAGTGAGAGGACGCTAATTTGGTCCTCAGCATCCCCACAAGGATGCTTGCACTTTCCTGCAGAGCAATTCTCCTTCTGTGGTGACCACAGTGCTCTTACCCCCCAGCCCCCCAAAATCCAGGTCAGGTGGGTATTGCCCATATGCTGCCCGCACTGAGGATGGGATGGGGGAAAAATGAAGCAAAGAAAGATTTAGCAAAGAAAATTAGGAAAGGTAAGATGGCAATTGATGGCTAAAATGGAACATTTCCTGTTTAATGAGAAAAGAGATGAATATGAATGGAGAGCTATATGCAAAGATTTGTTTAGTGTGTTATTAGTGAAGACAGCAGCAAGAAAAGATCCTTTGTCCAAACACTGGCAGGAAAGGTGACATTTGCAGTTGTTTAAAGCCTTACAGCTTTTCAGGGCAAAACTGCAGAGCGTAATAAGTGTAATAAAGATGGTTAAAAAGCAGGGGATGGCAAAATAAAGACCTCACAGTTTCATACCTGTACATCAACTACAGAAAGCTCCTGGCACCTGAAGAGCAGGAAAAAGTAGTCTAGCCAAGGCTTTGTTTTTATTCTCTCTTCCCTTCTGAAGAACAGCAGAGACACAGATGGCAAAATACAGAAGCTGAGGGGGGAAGGGATGGGGAAGGATTTTGCAGCCCAACAACATGGGTGCTCCCTGCTTGGTGGGTGACTTCACCCTGGGTTTCTGCACCTCCATGGTGGGATGTGATCTGGGGATGCACGGCTGGCCATGGAAGAATGTGACGTGGAGGGGGGGGCACCTCCTCTCCATGCATCAGTTCCCCCAAAACACCGTTTTTGTGATTTTTTTTTTTTAATGCTTATTTCTACTCCCTGGCAGAATAACGAGGGTGGTGTGATTGCTCAGCTGCCCAGCACTGTCACCACCTTCAACCAGACAGGGCTGAAGCCGGGGGAGGAGTACACTGTCACCGTGGTGGCCCTGAAGGAACAAGCCAGGAGCCCTCCCACCTCCGACAGCGTCTCAACCCGTGAGTGAGCCTGACCTGGGGGAGCACGACAGAGCCCAGGTCTTGATCCCAAAAATAAGATCCTATCAGCAAGAGCAGCCTGGCACTGCATGGGCAGGGATAAAAGTAGCAGCACCCTGGTGCCCAAGCACTGCAGCACCAGCTTCTTCATGCAGTATTTTGTCCCTCTCCCTCCTGAATTGCCACAAGCACAGAAACCGTGGTGACGTTAATGGGGTTGGGAGCGAAGACTCGGGTCTGCTTTTATTATATAGCTGGATAAATTCTTCTTCTCTGCTAATCTCACATTTCAGAGGCTGCAAGCCCTCAAGAAATACCTCTATAAATGTATTACTTACTCATATATAACAGATTAAAACTCCCACCTGCTTTTGTTCCACTAAATGCCCTCTACTCCCACCTATTCAGGCAAATCAGGCAGCAGGGCCGGGAGCCAGGAGCAACAGCTTGTCCCTTCCTAACCAATTTATTTGCCCAGTCCCTGGTCCATCCTGTAGACCAGAGAAAACTGTGTCTTCTCCTCGCTGAAGGAGACGCAGCAATGGGCAGAGCTCACTGGGAGAAGGGGCTCTCCACGCCAGACCTGCTGCAGTCTGCCTTGGCAGTCAGGCAGACGTCTACTACCTCCACCCAAGCTGTTCCAAACAGAAACAGCACTTAAATAGCTGCTGGAGGGCTGTAACAAGGTGATGCTCTTCAGGCTGCTAATTTGAGGCAGTGGTGAGAGCGAAGGGAGGGTCCCTCCACCAGCAGTGGTTTGCTGCAGGTCTGAGCTTCCTCGGCTCAGTCCTCTCCTCCCGCTTTTCGTCCACGCTCAGCTTGACGTGGCTTAACAGAGACATCTCCTGGTCAAGCCCAAATCTTCCTTTCCCATGGATGTCAGCACAAAATACAGAGGCTGGTACTTCGAACTCCGAGGTTGACCTTTGCAGGGAGCACAGGTGGTGCGGTGGCTCCCAGCTTTCTGCTTCCTGAAGGCATCCCTGTGTTGGCATGTCTGCCTTCCTCTGCAGCACCCCCACAGCTTAATCCTCATCATCCTTGTTCTGCCTCAACACCTTGTGCCGGGATCAAGCAGAAAAGCCATGGTTTTATGCCACACAGCTAAGTAGATGTGCATCACCTGGATGACTGGACAACGTGAAGTAGTTTGAGATTCAGGGTTTGGATAAGCGTGACCTGGTCCTGGACACCCAGCTCCTACCTAAACACTGTGCTTCCCAGCTGCCCTCCCTCCTCCGTTGCTGTTTTGCCCTCAGACCTTACCCCACTGCTCCAAATTCCCCCACATGTCTTTTTCCAACCCTCCCTGGTCCGTCTCACCCCTGCCCACACAGATTCTCCCACAGAACTTCTGACCCTGGCATGCAGCATTCAGCACACCCTTATTATATAGTCATTTTCTCTTATATTCACTATACTAGATGTATATAGATATACAGTATATTTTGAATTACAGAACCAGAGTGGGCTTTCTCACCCACCTTGTGATCATGCAAGTGATAAAACAGGCTCCCCCAGCAGGCATCAGCACTGCCATGGCACAGGAGCAATGGCCAGGCTTGGCCCCATCCATCCATGTAGTGGTTAAGTCCTGCTGGGCTCCAAGCATCCATCAGCCAGGCTTCAGTCCACGATGTTCAAAGGTTGAGTGCTGGGGGCTCTGGAGGAGGGAAGGGCCCAATTCTCTGCAAAAGAAAGCAGAAACATCTGAAAGTGTCTCCCGGTAGATCCCTGGTATGAATTTACCTAAAAACCTTTTATCTGAGGGAGTTTGTTGGACATCCACCATAGCCCACACCCAGCTAGTTATGAAGACTCACCAGAGCAGTTGCATTTTCTCCTCTCTCCCCACAGCTAAGACATCAACAGCTTTACAAGCTGATCCCTCAGCTTAAGGACAAACCAGGAGCTGGCACCGAAGCAGGAACATTTCTAGAGATGTTCCTCAGTTCTAAATGCTTGGATCTGTCCTTGGCCCCACGTTATTTAACACGTTGTCAACACCTTTCAAAAGACATAATATCATTGCTGATGAATTTTACCAATGATGGAAAGGCCCAGAAAAGAGTAAATTGAGTAGAAGATCCTGGATAAAAGTAGTCTGGATGCTTTGAAGAGCTGGGCACAAAGTTACGTTTTCCAATGCAAAAGTACAGGCAGTTGTCTAGGAGCAAAAAAAGTGGACCACAGTTAGATATAGGAGGTTTTATCTTGGGAAATGCCACCTGGAAAAACCAGGGAAGGATTGTTGCCGATAACCAGCTTGAGAGAAGGGCATGAGTTGCATTATAACTGTAATGGTATCAATGAGAGAGCTGCTGGGCCCACAGAGAGTGGAGCGGATTCAGGAAAGAGCCAGGAGATTGGGACAAGGGACTGGGAACCCACAAGGACCAAACCTCCTACCTTGGGGTCATGGTCTTGCTCATGTCACCTCTCTCCCTGTCCCCAAATGCTAATCCCAGCCGCTCTGAGGGCCGGGCTGAAGCACCCCAGAAGCCTGGCAACTCCAGAGCTTCCCCCTTTCCCCACCCAACCCTCCCAAAGTAACCCCCCCGTTTCCCCCCCCATGCTCCGCAGTCATCGACGGCCCGACGCAGATCCTGGTGCGGGACGTCTCGGACACCGTGGCCTTCGTGGAGTGGACGCCGCCGCGCGCCAAGGTGGACGCCATCCTGCTGAAGTACGGGCTGGCGGACGGGGAGGGCGGGAGGACCACCTTCCGCCTGCAGCCCCCCCTCAGCCAGTACTCCCTGCAGGCCCTGCGCCCTGGCGCCCGCTACCACCTCGCCGTCAGCGCCCTGCGGGGTGCCAACGAGAGCCGGCCAGCCCTCGCCCAGTTCACCACAGGTAGCTAGACTGGCTTTGCTGGGAGAACTGGCGTGAGCTTTTAGGCCCGCAGCAGGCACGGGCAGACGGCTTGCTGCGATCTGCAGATGGGCTGTCCTGCAACGAGGATGTATCCGGAGACAAAGCAAGGGGATTTTTGCATCTAGGATTTAGTGGCACCTGGTTTGCCCCCTGGCACAAGTGAGCTGGGGTTTAGTGTGGTGTGTGCTAGGAGGAAGAAGTGGAATGAAAGCACAATGGTTAAGATGCAGGTGTGAGTGGAGACGCCTGAATGCAGGTGCCTCGCATCCCTCATAGAGCAAGGCAGAGCAAATGATTCAGCTGCCCCTAAAATACACACCCTAAAACCGTTCTCTGATCCCTTTACTCGTGCCTACATTACTGTTTAGTCCCTAAACCTCCAGTGCAACAGGTCTTCATGCCCTGTGCCCCACAGGGATGCTCACATGGTCCCCAGGGCAGTCCAGGTTATCCCAGATGCCAATGACCAGGCATGGATGACTCAAAACCCCACATTTAGACAGACCCTGAGCCAACTCCACCTTGGCCATGTCCTGCTGTGGCATCAAGTCTGAACCTGCCTGGGACACACATCCCCACCAGATTCAGTGCCCGTTTAGACACACAGCTGAGCTAAAACTCTAAAACCCAGCACCCCTAAGAGCACCCAGAGCTCCATGCAAAGTTCTCAAAAGAACCAAAACATTCAGCACGGGTCTGAATTCAAGACAATGCTCACTCCCATTCAGCACTGAGAGCCAAGGCAAATGCCTTGCCTTAGGAATTAGCAGTCAAGTAGCTGAAAGCAGCCCAGCCAGAAACATGGTTATCTCATTTTATATCTTCTCTAAACAGCCTAACTGGTCAGTAAAACTTTAATTAATGTTAAGCCTGCAGACACCTAACAGGTTTAATTTACTGTGCCATAAAGGAGGAGGCAGAGTGTGTATTTTCATGCTGGTTTATGGTATATAAATTACTTGTCATGTATGTTACTGGTGGATACGAGGCTCCTACTGTAATAACTGTGGTGTGTGAATTGTGTGTGTAAATATCTCTATAGATAAATATTTCGGAAGAGATGTTCGCCCCGACTGATTTGCTGCGTTGGCCTTCCTCGCTTCATTTCTAAAAGGCAACACAAAAAATCCCCCCAAACTCAGATCCATCACCATTACCCACTGTCTGCTGGTGCCCAGCCCCAACCCATCGCTCACCAGAGGGTTTATTGTGCAAACCAGAGCAGATTTGGTGCACAGCCTCAGCAGCACTAATAAACAAACACTTTGGGAATTGTCTGGGTGTGAATGAGCCTGTAAAGATGCTCAAGGTTCTTCTAAGAGTAGTTCAGGCCAATGCATGGTTGCTACAGAGCCCTCACACTGCCTCACTTTCCCTGACTCTGCTATGGGCGGAAAACAGTTTTATTTTCCAAATAACATGGAATTAGCTCCCAAAGCAACTTACTAAGGATGCTGTGAGTGCCTCAGCACTCACACCGATCACCTGGGCAGCATCTCCCAGTCTGTGCTGAGCAGCAGGTGAGAGCAGATATCCCAGCCCTTCCCCTGCCCTGGGCAGGAGGGACCGCCCATGGGACCTCCCAGGCATCACAGCCGGGTGCCCCTCCACCCTCGGGCCGTGCCAAGGCTCCGGGGTGCATTCCCGGCGGTGAGACGGTGCCTCTCTCCCTTGTGTCACGCAGAGATCGATGCCCCCAAGAACCTGCGGGTGGGCTCGCGGACACCTGCCAGCCTCGAGCTCGCCTGGGACAACAGCGAGGCCGAGGCCAACAGCTACAGGGTAGTCTACAGCACCCTGGCCGGGGAGCACTACCACGAGGTCCTGGTGCCGCGTGACACCGGTCCCACCACCCGCGCCACCCTTGCAGGTATGTGTGCGCCCTTCCTCCCCCCCACCCTTCTCCTCTCAAGCAGGTAGGGCAGTGGAGAGCCCAAATCAGCACTGATATGCCGTTGCCCTTATGCTGGCATGTGTTTGAGGTTGTTTTGGAGTTTACTGCTTACCGGAGAGAAGGTTTTCCTTGGGATGTAGCTCATTTTCCCCTGCGTGGGTCTGGATTTGGGTGCTGCTTATCCACAAGTGATGCACCTCCAAGTAACGCACCTCCAAATCAGGCACCTCCAAGTCATGCACCTCCACCAAAGATCTTTCTGGGTGCCAAATAGAGCTGGCAAGGAGCAAAGTGAGAAATGAGGAGAAGAAGCCTTTTTAGGCTGATCTAGAGGGAAATGTTATTTCACCCTTCTCTTTTTTTCCTTGTTGGGAAAGAGACACAGGTGATGATGCCCCATGGGCAGTGATGGGGAGCCAGGCTGCCTGAATTTGTTGCCTTTTTCCAAATCAGGCACAAAGCAGACCCAAACCTAGGGATGCTATTTTTGAGCAAGTCCTTTAAGTGGTGCACAATTCAGCACAGGGGATGCCACCAGGGGCTGCAAACACCACCCACCTCTCGCTGCCAGGAAAGCCCCAAACACCTCGTGCAGCAACACAGCAAAGCACCATGTGAGATCTGGTTTCCTTTTTTTTTTTTCCTACCAGAACTGCTTGCCTGATGGATTTGCCACTCTGGTGGCACTTTTTGAGCAAAGAAAAGACTTACTTACACAAAAAAAGTTCACTCATTCAGCTTGAAGCTCTTCAGTATGGCAGGACATCAGGTTCCTCCATGTTGACTCTCTGCCCTCCCAGGACCTTCAAGGGCTCAGGAATCTGCCACATGGAGCTATAGGAGTAAGTCCAGAAGGAAAGTCGAATGTTAAGTTGCAGGCACAGCAGCAGAGTCATGAGAAAGGCTGGAGGGCAGGAAGGCAATTAGAGCAGATAGCTTGAAAAACGTGGTATGCGGAAAGAAGAAAAATGTTAGGGATAGTTTCTGCTGCGTTCCTGATGAGGACACGCATGAAGAAGTGGGATGAGATCACAGGCTGGCTGCTGGGCTCCTGCTAGCTTTCCTCTAGGACATTTATTGGCTTTCCAAGTGAGAAGAAGCAATAAAAACGGGCCAAACTGCCCTCCCTGGGGCAGAGGTTCAACATGGCACCGGTGACACAAACTGCGACGACACCCATGGCAGAACCTGAGCTTGCCTTGGAGGACATGGCAGTCTGAAGGCTCTTGTTTTTCTCAATAAAATTAAAAAAGGTGCCAAGTCTCTGCCAGACTCAGGCAGGGCTGCAAGAAATCCCGCCAGAGCAAGCTGCAGAGATGCAGAGGCTTAAGTCGATAGCAGAGTGATTTTTACATAGTGCCTCCATCATCACCTAAGTGCATTGCTTCCAGTTCCCAGGGTAATAAACAAACCAATTAAAAAAAAAATCCAATCATAGCATAAAATAACCCAAAAAATCATTCTGCTGGCAAAAAAAAAAGCCAGGAGAGCTGTGGTGTGGATGGCACTGAGCTCTCCCATAGCTCCGATATGCACAGAGCAGTCCTGTCCTCCAGTCTTGTATGGGGAGCAAAACACATTGGGGTGTGTTTCCAGCCAGCCTGATGGGATCCATGACATGAAAACAACCAGTAATTCCTTCCATCATCTTCATTTGCCTGCAGGAAAAGCAGTGAGGAGTGGCACTGAGCAGAGTTTATCAATAAAGATTTAAGCTTAAAAATACAGCAAGCCTTGCCCTGCCCCATAGTCTCTCTTAAAAATCAGCATTTGCACAGAAGTATCCATAACATTGCACTACCCAAAAGAGATGGCAGAGAAAAAGGACTGGTTTATATGCTCCTGCTCATTTCTTCCTTCTCCTCTCCCTTTCTCCCAGGCTCTTTTCCTCCTTTCCAGGATACTTCTGACACTTACTGGGGAGGGCCTATAAGTGATGTGGGTCCATCTTCCCCCCATCACCAAGACTGCACTGTAGCAAGAGAAGAGCAGGGGGCGAGGGTTTCCCTCTCTCCTGACCTCTTGAGGAAGGTTTTGGTGGCTCCAGGGGATGCTGCCCCTGGGCAAGGCAGGGTGAGGCTGGGCTGGAGGGTTTATGGCTTTTTTAGCTCTGTGGGAAAGATCAGGAAGCACAGGGAGGAGAGGAATAGAGCCACCAGCAGCCAAGCAGAAGTGACAGGCAGAGGCAGGAGATGTCCCACATGGTTATCACAGCAATCAGGAAAGGAACTGGATGAACTCGACTCCCATGTCCCTTAAGAGAGGCACTGCAGGATACATCCCCCCCCAAGGAGCAGGGCTTGATTCAGCTCCCAGGAAGACTGCACCTTTCCTAATTAATGTATATTTCATTTACCCTGCATAATTTATTTCAAGACACCAGCCCTGTGACAATATTCGATGTTGCATCACTTTGGAAGCAAATATAGCTACTTTGTCATTCCCATCTCAGCTCGCACACACAGAGCTTCTGTCTCGCTGCCAGCAGTTACAGCAGACCTCAGCAACAACTTGTAAAAGTGTCTTGTTTCTGAGCTAAAATAATCCAAATTCCCTGTCCAAAGGCATGCACGGGGCTTTTAAAGAAGGATCAGCGCTTCTGCAATGCACGGAGGAACTGCTGACCTGTGGGAGGGCTGCTCACCCCAGGGGTGCCCTGGATGTCCCCAGCTGTGGGAGCTGGGGGGGTTGCACCCTGAGGTCACCCTGCCAGGCACTGTTCTCACACCCCTTCATGTCTTTTGCGCTCCCTGGCAGATCTGGTGCCGGGAACAGAGTACGGCATCGGGATATCGGCCGTGATGGACAGCCAGCAGAGCGTGCCGGCCACCATGAACGCCAGGACTGGTGAGTTTGGCCCCGCTGCCTGCTTCACACACAGCTGGCTCCTGTGGCTCAGATGTCCCCATGGGACAGTCTGTGCATAGGGACAAAGCTCTGCACCAACCCTCTCCCACAGAGCTTGACAGCCCCCGGGACCTCGTGGTGACAGCCTCCACAGAGACGTCCATCTCACTGGCGTGGACCAAAGCCACAGGTCCCATCGACCACTACCGTGTCACCTTCACCCCTGCCTCAGGGATGGCCTCGGAAGTGACGGTGTCCCGGGACGAGTCACAGCTCACCCTCTCAGAGCTGGAGCCCGGGACGGAGTACACCATCTCCATCATTGCCGAGAGGGGACGGCAGCAGAGCCTGGAGGCCACCGTGGATGCCTTCACAGGTAAAGACAGACAAGTTGGGATGGGGCCAAGGCCACAGACCACTACCCTGTGTTGTCACCTCTGCCAGCCCACCACATCCCCAGCACCAAAGCCCTTGGGCGGTGATGGGGATGAGAACTGGGGTCAGTGTGTCCACATGGAAGCAGATCTGTTGACCTTAAAAGGAGGATGTTGCTACCGATGTGGTGGCACAGCCCCCTTGGCCAGCAGCACTGAGCACACTTGCCTGGCTCGAGGCTTCCGAAAGGACAAGGCAGGATTGGGGGAACAGAACAGCCCATGCTGTTCTCTGTTGTCAGGGTGGTCTGTATGTCTGTGACTGCAGACTTTTCAGTCAGAGAATGTTGTTAGGTCCCTCAAGGCTTCATTTCTCCCTCTTTTGAAGTGCAGACAACACATACCATCTGCAGCAGGACAGCTCCATCACCTACCAGATGGGTCTGGGATGGAGGGTGTTTGCAGGCAGGGCTGACTAAAGCACCATTTTCCCCCTCCTAGTTCTGTCTATTGACATCAGCACAGCTTCAAATCAGTGGAGAGCCCAGAGCTCCAGCTTTGCCACCTCTCTTGGGTGTTTCCCAAATCAGCACTGGGAACAATGTGGAGGCCAGGATCTGCAGACGGTTGGGGTTGCATCTCTTCTCTCTGCCTTCCAGGTGTTCGACCCATCACACAGCTCCACTTCTCCCAGCTGACGTCCTCCAGTGTCAATGTCACGTGGAGTGACCCATCCCCACCTGCAGACCGCCTCATCCTCACCTACAGCCCTCGGGACGCGGAGGAGGCGCAGCAGGTCACCCTGGACGGCACCCGCCGGCACGCCAGCCTGACAGGCCTGCAGCCCTCCACCGAGTACCTGGTGTCCCTGGTGGCCGTGCACGGCGCCGTCAGCTCCGAGCCTGTCGTGGGCTCCATCACCACAGGTACCACAGGACACCCTCCACCAGGCACGGGACCCCACTGGGAGGGCAGGCAGGGGGACAAGGAGTGGACCTGCCTCCCACAGCTTTGCTTTGCGCTCCATCTCTCCAGGGATCGATGCACCAAAGGACCTCAGGGTGGGCAATGTCACCCAGGAGTCCATGATGGTCTACTGGAGCCCTCCCATTGCTGCCTTCGACCACTACAGAATATCCTACCGTGCTGGTGAAGGTAAGGGATCAGAGCACTCTTGCTCATGCCCTGAGGTCCCAGCTGCCAACCCTCCTTCCATGTGCTGGCATGAACAAGCCACCAGGTCATCCTCATCCCAGACAGCATCCCATGCACTGGTAAAAGCCACCAATAACTGGCATGGAACAAAAGGCTACAGGGACAGAGGATGGAGTGTCAAGGATGGGGATGAGAAGGGACAACTGCAGCCAAGGGCCAGCTTGGCACAGAGGGGCACAGGGAGCGACCCCCTGCAGTATGTGGTTCACAGGGATGGCTAATTCAGGGCTCAATCCTGAAATCCCACCTCCCTCATCTGCTTCCACTACCTCATCTTCCCTGGCCCCAGTTTTGCTTATGATGCTGAAAAGGCCAAGCCAGCAGTGATGAGCACCTACAGGCATGAAACCCAGTTAACTCCAGTACCTTGTGGCACTGCCCTCCCCTCCCGAGCACCTCCTGTACCCCAGGGATGGGGCCAGCCGTGCTGCCAAAGCTCTTGGCTCCATCCCTGCAGGGAGGACAGACAGCACCGCCCTCCCCAAGGATGTCACCGAGCACACCCTGCACCACCTGGAGCCCGCCACCAAGTACGAGATCGGGGTGAAGAGCGTGCGGGGCCGGGAGGAGAGCAAGCTGGCCTCCATCACTGCCTACACAGGTGGGAAGGGGCTCCTGGTGGGCAGGGAGCAACCAAACAGTGACAGCTCCAGCCCTGGGCAGGGCTTGCAATCCCTTCTTGCCTTAGTAATCAGGCGACTGAGAGCAAGTTGGACCTCATGCCAGCCTGATGCAAGCTTGGGATGATAAGCAAGGCTCACAAGGGCCCAATGTGGGCTTTTGAAATATGTCTCAGCAAAGCTTTTCCAGAATATTCATGGGTAGTCATGGGGAAAGTGATAAACTTGTGTACCAGGCACAGGGAAGCCAGAAACATAATGTTGGGCCACCATGACAAGCTTTCTTAAAGGGAGTGCAAATTTTCAGAATAATCCCTGGGGAAGCCCCGTCACAAACAGCATCTGCTGCAAGAATAAAACCCTCCGCTATCCACAGACTCCTCAAAACCTAAAGAAAATCCCTAACATCCCAGGCTGTGCATCAGGAAAACAGAGGAGGAGCAGCCCAGGTAGCAGAGTAGCACAATATATGACATCTCTGCACTCCAGCCTAGGCAGCAGTAACTCCCCCGCAGGCTCATGTGCCTGAACAGCAGGGCAAGACCACGAGCAGTGGGCCACAAGAAGCCCTTCCAGTTCATAGCTCAGTCTCCAGTCTCTTAATGCCTCTGACTCTTTGATTGTCTCCCTCATGCAGCCATGGATGTCCCCTTGGGGGTCACAGCCACCAACATCACCCCCACCGAGGCGCTGCTGCAGTGGAACCCGCCGCTGTCGGAGGTGGAGAGCTACGTCCTCATCCTCACCCGCCATGCAGGTACACTGGGGCTCTGTTTCAGCTCACCTCCACCTCTCCCCCATCCCAAAGCCCAGACTTTGGCAGGTGCCCTTCAGGGAGGGAGTAGGGAAGGAGCCCTTACTCTGGGTTTTATAGGGACAGTGGGAAAAATAAGACTATCCTTCAGGCTGAACCACCACCACTGCAGCTCAGCTGTGGCACTGCAGCTTATGGTGTTTCAGCATTAGAAGTGCTTCTGTTCGTGAGATCATACCCAGAGGCACATTTTGGAGAATTACATGGAACTTTTGCCTAAACCCATCCCTGTTGGCTTACAGTTGCAGGAGAAACAATTCTCGTGGATGGAGACAGCCAGGAGTACCAGCTGACCAACCTGCTGCCCAGTACCACTTACATGGTCTCTATGTATGCCACCAGCGGGCCTCTCACCAGCCAGACCATCAGCACCAACTTCACAACCCGTACGTACAATCACCTCCCCACCTCCCACCCTCAGCCATGCACTCACCTCAGGACAAGCAGCCAGCCAGGCTGAGCCAAAGCTCTTCTCACATACAGTGGGCATAGAAGTAGCCATGTGCCAAAAGGACACCCAAAATTCTAGCGCTGGGCACAACACAAGAACAGAGTTTTAATCAACAAGCATCTGCCATCATTTTCACTTTTTCAACATCCATCAACTCCTTTCTATCTTTGATTTCCCCTGGATGTGGTTTCCTGAGAATACTCCTGACCAGGTTTTTTCTAGCCCAAGGCCATAGTCCAGAAGAGCTCTACAACCGGTTTTGCTCACAAGCAGCTTGACATTAACTTCAGAGCTGTTACCCTTGAGGTGGCACATAGGCAGAGGACTTCTAGAGCTCTGTTCAAGGCTGGGGAGGGGTGATGAGGTCTTGAAACTGAGGATGAGGGTGGACTTTGGGTTGTAGCTCAGTGTTGCGAGGTTGAATCCCAGTGTACTGAGTTGGGAAATGGAACTGGGGTGGCTGTGTGTGAGAATGTTCCCTTCCCTGGGGTCCCTATCCACTGTTGCAGTTTTGGATCCTCCAACAAATCTGACCGCCAGTGAAGTCACCCGACGGAGCGCCCTGCTCTCCTGGGTTCCTCCCGTGGGAGAGATCGAGAACTACGTCATGACCTACAGATCCCCCGACGGCAGCCGGAAGGTGAGTGAGTCCTCGCAAAGAAACAGGCTCATTAAGTCAGGGAATAACAAGACTATGGAGAAACAACCAGGAGAAACCCTACAAAGCAAAACAACGATGCTCACCGGCTCAGGGAGACCAAAAGGGCAGGCATTACTTTCTGCATGAGCAGATACTTTAGATAAATAATAAGAAAAAGCAAGAAGAAATTGCCTAAGGCAAAATGATTATGCACACCTGCAGGTCTGAGCATAGAGGGGATACCTGCAAAGTTTGGAGGAACAGGGGAAATTCACAGCTTGTGAAACACAAGCAAGCTGAGGCAGGAGAAAATTATCCTGCAAACAGAGATGCTAAAAATGCCATTTGCCCTTCCTGTGAAAAGGAAGACAGGCGCAGACAACTAATTAATCCCACAATACAATATATTTGATTATTTAATGAGTGTGTCCACATCTGCCTGTCTGGAGAGCTGCTACAAATGCCATCAGAAACACGTCACAGCCACCAGTCTCGTTTCCTTTGCTGGTGTGACAGGCTCACAGCAGTCAGGGGACAGTGGCTCTGCAGAAGGGGTTCGATAACGTTGTGTGGCACTCAACCAGAAAAATTAACAGGCCAGGAATCAACAGAATCAAAACTGGCTGGTAACCAAGTTTGGCCTGCTCTGCTCCTTGTGCTGCTCGAGCCATCAGTCATGCCCTGTACTGAGGGCACGCACATCCCAACAGAGTCGGTAAACAGAGCACACAGACTGCAAACACTTAAATTGCCTGTGTCCAAGCCATCTTGCTTTCTCCCACGCAAACTATCCCAAAATGTTGACCATGTTCATTGCCCTCATTGACTCAGTCCAAGGGTGTAAGCAGCCATGCAACGCTCCTTGGCCAGGCACCAAGGGCTGCAATAGTTTGTGGCTTCCCTTCCCTCCTCGCTTGCTCTTTAGGCTCCCCACCGCTTTTCTCATCTGTTGCTCTTGGTGTCTGCCTCCTTCTGGGACCCATGTACAGGAGCTGATTGTGGATGCCGAGGACACGTGGATCCGCCTGGAGGGGCTGTCGGAGACCACGGAGTACACCGTGCGCCTGCAGGCTGCCCAAAATGCCGTGCGGAGCGGCGTCATCTCCACCACCTTCACCACAGGTGAGGACTTGAGCCACACCCACTCGGGAAGGTGAAGGTCAGCACACATACCATGCTGGTAGGCATGGACTGCTTCTATGGGCTTTCCCTCCTCAGGCAGCACCCCGTCACAATCCACAGAGAGGTACATACAATGCCATGTCCCACAGTGCTGCCTTGCTACAAAATGGCTGAAGGATCTATAACACAAACACAAGACCCAACCAGGCCCTTTTCCTTGTCCTTGCCCCTCCTCAAATGCATAGTCAACATCACGTATCCACATGTAAGCTCTTGCAGTGAATAGACCAGCTGGGTCTCTCCACACTGTAGACGTGATCCAATCACTCACAAATATCAAAAAATCATAGAATAGTTTGGGTTGGAAGGGATCTCTAAAGGTCACCTTGTCCAACCCCCCTGCAATAAGCAGGGACATCTTCAACTTGATCAGGTTGCTCAGAGTCCTGTCCAACTTGACCTTGAAAGTTTCCAGGGATGGAGCATCCCTGGAAACATAAAGCAGGTGCATCTCTACCACCACCAGTGGGGTCACAGACAGCAGAGCCAGCACTTTATCTAATCCACTGACTTTATCTGATTGCATTATTCCTCCCCACTCTAATCCTAGAGAATTCACAATCCACTAAGGCAATGGGAATGATTTGCTTTCCAAATCAAAGGCATCCACAGTCACCACAGCCCTCACACACAGAATACTTATGCTGGCAAGAATGAAGCTTACAAAGAAAGTCACCATCGCTCCCACCCTCTCCAACAATTCACATTAGAAAGAGTGCAAAGCAAATGTCCCTCACCGTCTTTGAAAAGCCTGGCTAGGCCAGGGCACTTACAGATAGAGTGCATCTTGTTCAGGGCTGAACCCAATCCCATTTCTCCTGGGCTTCAAAAGCACTAAGAAGCCTATACATGACATCCACCAAAATTCCTCTGATCTGCACTGCCAGTTCAGTTAGGAGAGTTTTCTTTGAATCAGCTGTGGGTACACCTCCCCATCTCAGTTACATGCAAAGGTCCCTTCACCTGCTTTTAAGAGATAATAGCAACTACTTATATCAACAAAAGAAGAAAAGACTCTGCTCTAATGCATCTATTGAACAGGCTTTCCTGTTATTCTCGCCTCTTACATGGGCATATAAGGCCAGTGCAATTTAGGCAGGTGATGGACATATGCATCTAATCTTTGAGGCTGTTTGAGAGTTAGGGATGAAGCTGCACAGGGGTGACTTTTCAGCTGGGATAAAGCAGCAGAAATCCAGCCACAGCAGGCAAGCAGAGCACCTTTTCCATCGAACACAAACGTCAGACCTCAGCAGCATTAGAGTCACCGTTGCCAGCTGATGCAGCATCCAACACAGGTTTAATTTGCTTTTAAGATGAAGAAAAGCATCAGCAAGAAAACAGCTTCTCCCCACTTACCCCAATATCAATGAGACAGAAGCACCCAGGAACTATCACCAAGGCAGTGCAATCCATGGACACACCCCTGAGTGAAGCATCAAGATCTGGGATTCGATTTACTCTGGCAACGCATCAGGACACTTTGCTGAGAACAAGGACTTGTCTTCAAGAAGTCACTAAAAAAAATTTTAAAAAAAGAAAAACATCCAGGCTTAATTTAAATTGTTTTGCTTCCTTCTGCTTACAGTACACATCCCGGGGTTCTTCTATTCCCTCTGACATATTAATAGCTTGGCCTCTTTTGTTTCATGTTTGCATAAGGTTCTTGGGGAATTGTACACAGATGAGACAAAAGGAAGAAACAGATACAGTATTTATAATTTATAGGGGTTTGAAATGTCTTTCAAGGTCTCCTTGGCTCTTACAGATATGAATATAAATTAAGAAACAAGCAATCTCCACAGAGCTCAGGGGAGCCCAAACTCATTGTCTTTGAAGAAGTTTTCATTGTTGGATACTATAAAATGTAAACAAGGTCTCACCAGACACTGCACTACAGACCAGGGAGATGAAAAAAAATAGGGAATCTTCAACATTTGGGCAAAGCAATGACCTCCGAGTCTTCAGGTCACAAGGAGGGGGAATACACACAAGTGGGAAGCAACAGACAAGGGTTGTACCTTGGTCCTATGGGGCACCACACAATTGTGATGGACACACACAGCATTGAAGATTTGAAGGTCCTTCACACCTTGTCACTGTGTGACTGAGACATCCTTGAAAGCCACATCCACATTTGCAGCTCTGCACTTATTTACTCCATCATCCATATGCAACAACAGCAAAGAAAAAGATGCGTTTCCCTCTTTTGCATCAAATAAGAAAAAGTTGTGCCCAGAGCTGACATTCCAATACTGAGGGGGTCTCCTGATTAGGACTGTCCTAAACTCTGGCCCTCAAATGAGATGATTCCTCATTAGAGGACACCCGTAGCACAGTCACACTGCCCATGCTGCCTGTCTCTAGCATCTCACACAGCCTAATTCCTGCCCAACTTGCAAGTGAAAATTAGCTCAGCATAAGTCCACCATCATTTCCAAGGGCATGGAGAATCAGGAGAATCCCCTTGGAATGAGGAAAGTCATAAAACTTGATTGGAGCTGGCAATCCTGAGAGGAGAACAGGTTTTGGTATTTTCACAGCTGTCTAAATATGCTGGTGACAGCTTAAACCCCAGGGTTTCAGACACGGTGCACAAAGATGGTCCAAGAAGTGACATCCCTCATCACTCATAGTGATGTTACCATGCACCTCTCCAATATAGGACATATGGGAGATAATTAATTTATGCACACATTTTTTTCCATTAAGTCCTCTCATGTTGATGGCAGGTGTAAAGTCCCACTGCCTCACCGAATTACTCAGGACACGGCAGCCAAGTTAGGCCTTACCTGGATCACAACCAGTGGAGCCTGAGGCATGGGGGGAAAGGCATCTCTTTGCTTAAATTTTGCTTTTTTAAATTTTTTAATTTTTTAATTTTGCAGGAGGACGTGTGTTCGCAAACCCCCAGGACTGTGCCCAGCACCTGATGAACGGAGACACCCTGAGCGGTGTCTACACCATCTCCATCAACGGGGACCTCAGCCAGAGGGTGCCGGTGTTCTGCGACATGACCACCGACGGAGGCGGCTGGATTGTGAGTAGCTGTGGGCTTGTCCTGCATGTTGTCCCCATCACAGAGTAGCCAAGCCTCATCCTACCAGCAGAGCCAAGCCCCACGCTGCGCGGGAACGACAGCAGGCTTCATATCGCACGCTTCGTTTCCCACGCCACGGGGAATGGCCCATGCTCTGGTAATAATAGTTACACTTGGAGAAATGCCCTTTGATTTATTTGACATGTTTGCAGTGCTTCTGGAGAGCAAAATCTGTGAGTGAAGCTGATTTATTGTTCTAGAAATGAAATTAATGGCCGGTAGCTTTCACAGGGAATGATTCATGCTGCCTGCGGTAGGAGGGTGTCAGGCATCACCCCGGCTGAGTCTGCACAGGAGCACTTTAGAAGCAAATGCCTCTTTGGCTTTTGAATTGCACAAACACTGCTTGTCTTGACGTAGATGGACTGACAGCATAAGTAAATAATGCCATGGTGCTTTGATCTTATTCATGTCAAACACTTACTTACACACATTACACAAAACCCTGCTAGATGTATAGTCAAAACCAAAAAAAAAATGGGCTTCCTCAAATGCTGATTTCTAGCCAGTAGATTTCCCTCCATCTCACTCTGCTTCAGAGCATCCCCTTGGATATCACAGAAATAGACAGCTGAAAGCAGAATCATGTGCTAGAAAACCAGAGGCACCATGTGTTGGGTAGAGCAGAAAGCTCAAAGGCCAATTCCTTCCTATTCTCACATTGATTTGCCTTGGACATTATCTAACACCTCTTTTATTTCTCCATCTGCACATGAATTAATTGCATCGCTGCAATTAACAATAACTGGATGGGCATTGCAATTTTCTCCCCTGAAAGGCACAGTGGAATGATGAAGTATTATCTTTTTTAGGCTTTGGACACACAAAATAAAGACATTCCTCACCTCCATCACACTGATTTTCCCCCTGGTCTTCCTCCACCTCAGGTCTTCCAGCGGCGGCAGAACGGGCTGACCGATTTCTTCCGGAAATGGGCAGATTACCGGGTTGGCTTTGGAAACTTGGAGGATGAGTTCTGGCTGGGTATGACCTTCACTGGTTGTCTTTCATCGAGGTGTCAGACCCAAGCTCCCTGTGCACTGTGCTGCTCACCTGTGCCAGCTGTTGGCTCCCTGCCTTTCACCACATTCCTCTACGCTCTCCCTCAGACAGTTTTCCTTCTGTTCATTCCCTGCCCTTCACATTAGAAGACACTCATGGACACGTCACGTAAAAGCACATGGTGAAGGTCAGCAGCTCCCTAAACTTGCTCGTCCTAGAAGAAAAGAGGGGTACACTGGGACTTTTCACGGACCAAACCCTTCATCCAATGACTACAGGTTACATTGGTGACATCTACAGCTCATGGCCTTTCCAAAGAAAGTAGGAAAGGAGTGAGTGGGAGTCCCAGCACAGTTCTAAAATTGAGTGTGCTCCCCCAAAACCTGAACAGGAGCCAAGGCCAGCCCTGCAGCGTAAACACACTCTGGCTTGTACAGGAGCTTAACAGCAACGTAAGAAGCACCAGCGCTCCACAGCTGAAGGTTCCCAGCTCCAGCAGCAGGGAGAAAGCTAAACCTGGGCCTTGAACTCATGTCTCCTAGGTGCAGAGAGGTGAAACTTGAGTGAGGACAGAGAGCTCAGGCCCCAGCAGTGCCAGGAGAGACAGAGACTCACCAGAAGTGCTGCTGCTCTTCGATTCCTCTCCTCGCTCTCATTTCCCACAGCTGTCTTATTTGCTTAGAGCTTTCCCTGTTTGCTCACGGAGCGGATCCAGGCACCGAGTCTCACCAGGTGTTTCACTATTTGCCTCAACAGGCTTGGACAACATCCACAAGATCACGTCCCAGGGGCGCTATGAGCTGCGGATCGACATGAGGGATGGTCAGGAAGCGGCCTACGCCTACTACGACAAGTTCTCCATCGGCGACGCCCGCAGCCTGTACAAGCTGCGAATCGGGGACTACAATGGCACTTCAGGTACAGCCTCACGGCTGGCAAGGATCTGGGGGAACCCTGGGGCCTGTGGGTCTGAGACTGTAAAGGAAATCCCAACATGTTGTTGCAAGGCTGACTTGTTTAGAGCAGCAAGACACAAACCCATAGTCCTTTCTGCCTTCCTGCAGTCCATCATGTAAACCAGGCTGATAAAGCCCACTAAGTACACAGGGAATTTTCCATTGGGGATTAGATATTTAATATCAGAGACACTGCTGTTCAAATAACCAGGTCAGTCATCAGAGGTGTCATCCCACTTGGCAATAACGGCAGCTGGCTATTGATGCCGTGCTGGAGGGTGTATTTATTGCCTTTCCACAGCTATGGAAAAATCTGAAATCTTCTGCGTCATTTCCTCACATAGAGGCCAAACACTGGCCAGCTTTGCAAGGACACTGGCACACCTGTTTGCTTGGTTGATTCAGGAGAGTTAGGCTTTGCCCACCAGAAAACAGAGAGTGATGGAGGAAGAGCACGTTGGGGGGGGGTTCTTCCCCAAGAAGGGGGAAAGGGGAACAACTGCAGCCCTTTAAGCTGGGATAGACATGCCCAGCACAGGCCTCCATGACAAAACTTCACCACCAGGTACTTAGCAAGGAACCCCACACCACACCTGAGATGCAGGAATTTTCCTGTTCAATAACTGGTAATAGCCACTGGAAGAGAAGTGACAGGAAACTTTCAGGACCACCAAGGAGTGTATTAAGAATGTCTCCTGTAAGTACATCACCCAATTGTAATAATGACCATATTTTACTTTGACTTTTCTTTCACCCAAAAGCAGCTCTCTAGCTCCTTAGCCAAGAGGTAAAATGAGGTTGGTGTGTTTAGTGGAATATAACATCACACACCTTCCCAAAACTTCTTCCTCTTATCCAAGAGGAGAAAAGGTGGCCAAGCATCTTGGTTCAAGACGTGAATGCTGGGTCTCCTTTGGGAGGAAAAAACCTCCCTTTGGCTACCAGGAGGGTAGGAGGCTGAAAGCATCCTGAAATTATATAGCAGAGCCAAGCCTCAGGAAATCACGGATGCCAAAATCTGGGATTGAATTAATTTCTGGAACACTCAAATTCAGATCCAAACCCATACAGCACTTCATCTGACAAAGACAAGCAGCCTCTGAGATTTGCTATGGTCTGCACTGATCCTAAACAGACAGCAGAGGACCTCAGATGAACCAGTTGTGAGCAATTCCAGTTCATGTTATCCTCAGACTGTCAGCTGCTTGAGCCATTCATTGGGAGGCTACCACGTAACCAGAATATCCTAATTTCCTTGTGAAAAGACCAGATAACTCAGAATCCATCACCTTTAATGGCCGCTCTTTCCGCAGGGGACTCCCTCACCTATCACCAGGGCCGCCCCTTCTCCACCAAGGACAGGGACAACGACGTTGCCGTGACCAACTGTGCCATGTCCTACAAAGGGGCCTGGTGGTACAAGAATTGCCACCGCACCAACCTCAACGGCAAGTACGGAGAGTCCCGGCACAGCCAGGTAAGGGCAGGGCTGCTGTGAAACCCCCTGGCATTTCTTCTAGGGGCTGGGGCTGCATGGTCGCTGCACCAGGTCAGGGGCACTGCTGGGGTAACCCCACACCAGCTGGAGCAAAGGGAGCTGATGCTTTGTGCCTCAGAGTGGCTGCCATGGTCATTTGCCGGGGCATCTTGTTGTGTTGCCTTAAAAAAAAAATACCTACGTGAAATTTGACCAGAAGCCTTTGAGCAGTGAGGGAAAAAAAACAGTCAAGCCATAGCAGCAGGAGAGTTTCTTGCTCCTGCTGTAGCAAGTTCTTCCTTCTGGCTTCTCTACAGCAGTCAATCTTATTTCCTTCCTCTCCCACTCTAATTTCTTCTTTAGAAGAAACTAGTTTCTTCTTAGGATCTTTCTTTACCCTCTGCCTTTCTCTCCCTCCTGCCAGGGGATTAACTGGTACCATTGGAAAGGCCACGAGTTCTCCATCCCCTTTGTGGAAATGAAGATGCGACCTTACAACCACCGTAACGTCTCTGGGAGGAAGCGACGGTCCCTACAGCTCTGAGCCAGCTGAACCCCCTCCTGCCTCCCACCACCTGACCTTTTCTGTCATTTGTTTGTATTTTATAATATGAAAAGGGAAAAAAAAATTACTACTCGTCTGAGATAGTAACCTGCCCCTCACAAATACTGGAGGGAACCACGGCACAAGGAAAGGCCGTGGGGAAGGGAAGACCTCATTGCTTTGCATTTGTCCCAGAGAAATACCAAATTTCCAGTCTCCCTAACCCAATACTCTGACCCTTAACATGAGAAGAAAGAGAAAGAGACAGATTTTTTTGATATTTTTTTAAAAGATGTAGAAATCCCCAGCAAACCCTGTTAGAACGTTTGTCATGGGGCTTGTGGCAGGAACCTTCCCCACAGGGACCTTGGTGCGGCCATTTCCACCCCAGTCATGGCCAGGGGTGCCCATCCTCTCCCTGCCTTGTGTCCCCTCCTGGCAGGCAGGTCCCAGGCTTCATGCCATCCTGTAGACACAACTCTCCCAGCAGGCAGAGGCCCGTCTCTCCCCTGTGGGCTGCCTCTGAACACATGGAGACCAAGCGAGGATGAGCAAATGCAAGGCTCGCCCCCTCCCCAGTTTTCACAGATCCCACCCAGAGGGCTTGGCAAATACCTGCATATGTAGGCAAACTCCAGAGAGTCCACAGCTCGTGTGTTGGTCCCACGAGCTATTGGGACCACAGTCATCCTTGTGGGCACGGGGTGTAGGGGAACAAGAGCTGCTCCACCAGCCCCAACATGCATTATCCACTCCTCTGAGCTGAATTCGTCCCGCTCCAGGTGCACGTCAGCCTGGGTTATGCTGAGCTTGATGCAGAAGAAAGGACTTAAATTAGAAGACCTGGGAGAAAAATCATTCCTTGTGGCCCTGAAGCCTAGGGCCCATTTCCTCTGCTATTTTTACATTTCTGCCATGTTCTCTCTTACCAAGGTCATTGGTCCCAAACCAAAGGGTCTCAGAGAAGGAGCAGCAACCAAAAGTTACCACACAACCACAGCCCAGGCTGAAGCCAACAGCTGTCACAGCCCAGGTGCTCCTGTTCATGGACCTCCATGCACACAGGGAATGATGACAACGCAGCCAAGGGAAGAGAAGTGCAAGCTGAGGAATTCACATTCCCTTCCTTCTCCTACAGCATCCCTCTTCTATGCCATCAGAAGAGGGACACAAATCTCAGTGCCTTGGTATCACCATCTCTCTAACAGGGAATCAACTGTTTCCCCTCTTGGAAGAAAGGCTTAGTCCATTCAGATTTTGGAGCACTTCAAGGCCCTTGGAAGAATTAATGAGTTTGCTCTTCCCATCCTTAACTTCTCCTGTCTCAAGGAAGACGGACCCTTCAGATAGCTCTGGCTGCGCTCTGTTGCCATTGACACCACCTCCACATAGCCCAAATGGCCACCATGCTTGAGTCACCCCTCTGCTGAGGGCTCTGATCAATGCTGGGCATTGTCACTGGCCTGGTCTTGGAGAAGGGACGCGTCCCCATGCCCAAGGACAATGCAGCTCATCACTGGGTTCGCAGCCAAGGGAGCATTACAAATGCTGAACACTGCGTTTTCTTTTTATCACACTGAAGCTGCTTTGTCTCAAAAACATTTTCCAGATGGCAACATAAAGGCATCTTTGCAGTGGGTTATAATTCAGGCCAGTGTCTCTTTCACGGCCACGCTCCTGAATGTTCTGACGTTACTCACCATGGCTGCAGAGCTGAAGAGGGCCATTAAGTGGGGAATGCAGCCTCCTCATCCGTGCCACGTACCGGCACACGGAATCACTGCTAACCCCAAGGTCAAGACTAGATACAGGGTCCAGCCCCCCACGTGGCCAGCTTACAAGCTGCAGTCTGACCTGGAGAGAGGATGCTGTAGCTCAGCAACATCTCATATGTAAATGAGGCATCTCTTCTTACTTCCCATCAGCATTAAATCAGGCAACAAGTCAACCAGCTGATGAACAGGTCAGTCAGAGGCTGCAGATGATGGGATCTCTTGCAGGACATGGCCAGTGTCACAGATGGCAGCATGTCACACATCCTGAGCACCCAGCCCTGTTTTAAGTCCCAAGAGCCAACAAAAAGCAGCAGGTAGAACAGACTGAAAACTAAGAAGCCTCCTAGTAGACCAGCAGAGCAATTTTTCCCAACACCATCAAGAATTTATAGTCAAGAAGTGTCCTAAGCAAAGCTGTACAGTGCAGTGGTTATAACTAGGAGCAGAGATTGGCAGTGGATGGAATTCATCACCTGGTTTGGATGGTGCTGTTTACTTACCTACCCAGGCGAAAGAAAAAGACATCAGTGGAAACACTGGAGCTCATCATTCATAACCAAGATGAAGGCAAGAAAACTCTCTTCCCAAAAGTATGACTCAAACAGAAAATCAAAGCATGGCAAGCTTTTCCAGGAGGTTCAAAAGGAGATCCTCAAAAAGGCTGATTATTCACTACACAGGTTTACTGACATATAAAAGGGATGACAGACACAAGGAAGGAGGGAGAGATACAAGTCCTGTAACCAAGATGAGTTGGCCCAGTGGACCCAACTCCATAGCTGAGTATGAAGGGCACTCTTGGGAGATAATATCCAACCTTCCAATGCCACATATATAAAGTGCTGGTCCCTGACCTCACACGTGATTCCAGGGTGTTGTCTTTCCATTATCTTGGTAAAACACAGTTGCTTGTGTCTTTTAAAGGAAAGACTTCTACACGTCATGGTTTTCTCCTGGTGATAACCCCACCCAAGCCCAGGCACACAATCAGCAACAATGACCCAGTCATTTGGGCCATTGTCCCTTGTTCACACTGTCCACAAACAAGATACAGTTTTCCAGAAATTCATTTTTCATCACTACCTGATGAATTTTCTTTTTTTTTTTTTTTTGGACAAAGCTCCTGACAGCAGTTTCAAGCAGATTTGTGCTTAGTGTTGATGCTACAGAACAGCAGGTGATTAAGTACAGTTTCTCCTCACCCTCCACCACTCTTTCTCTGAATTAATTCTCGAACCAGACAAGTCTGGCCTTGAAATTCCCAGAAACCAAGCCTGGATCCTGTGCAGTGCTCATCTTGAGAGACCTCGGCTCCAGCACGTGAACCATCACTGGGCTCTGGTGGCTCTGCTGTGCCATCCTGGGCTCGAGTGGCCCAGGCTTGTCCCAGAGCCCAAAAAGGAACCTGAAGCTAACACCCAAACGACTCTAGCCACTACGAGATGCCACCTCATACAACAGGAGGCAGGAAGAAGCACATCAGATCCTCCACACAGCAGAACACCACATGCACCCAGGACCCTCTTGGCTCTTATTTCTAACCCCAAAATCCTGTAAGGAAACACCAAGGGACTTGCTCATCTCTTGCCCAGTTTTCATTTCCCTCTGTTTCCCTTCTCCAAGCCCACCTTCCAAACGCACACTGCACTAAAACATAACCAAAGAAAAAAAGAAATGTCCTGAAAGGAAAAGCTGCTTTTAGCAAAGTGATCCTTAAGACAGCAATTTATAAATTAATAATTTTGAGGAGAGAGGTTAGGCTTTCCCCAAGGGTAGCTGGGTTTTGGCAGGAGGATACTGTAAGAGTATCCTCACAAAGGTTGGGGAGAAGCCTTTGCTTCTACTCCTTGTCTTTGCAGTACTTTACCATGGGCATCTCAAAGCATAGTACCAGATTAAATGCACCCTTGCCCCAACCTCTTCTCTCCTTCCCAAATTGATGCTTACCCCAGGTGAAGTGCCAGGGTGTGGAAAGCCACAGCTCATGCCACTTTCATCCCCAGTGGTGTGGCAGGTAAGGGTTCAGCCAATGGTGTCCCCATGCCCACAACAGGCTCAGAGTGACCTGCCAAAATACATCAGGAGCCAAAATACCTGCCTGGTGCATCACCACACCAGCACATGCCCTTCATCCCAACCCAGAGCTGCCCTCCTGGTATGTCCCCACCATCGCACCTTGGGGTGACCGCACACCCCCTGCCCTGTGCCCCCCAGAAACACCCACAAGTTTTGACTTTACCAGACACTGCCAGCAAAGAGCTCTCACCCAAAAAATCCTCTTTAATTCATGCTTACACCCACTAACAAAGGGCTCTGTCCCGAGGCCAAGGAAGAAGCCCATCCCTGTTTCTTCAAACCAAGCACCCTGGGATGGCCATTAAATCCAACAGAGCCCCTTGGGGACCACCAGCACCCTCCAGGGTCACCTTCCCCCTTCCTTAAACCCTGATGGTGGTGGCAGCTCCTTGCCCCTTCCGGAGGGGAGTTTTGGCTTAAGGGGAAGGGAAAGGCCCTTCCCTGGGGAGATCCCGATGCCCTGACCCACCTCCATACCCTGCCTGCAGCTCTCCAGATGTCCGTGGCTTCTCAGAAAGAGGGTGACACAAAGACCTAAACAAACAAACAAGCAGCCCCCTGTGTTACCCTGGAAACACATTTAATATGTTAAAAAAAAAATTTAAAACCATAAATACGGAGGGAGAACAGAGGCAATGAAATGCCTTGGACAGGTTCTGATGAACTCAAACACAAACCAATGCAACCAAATGAGGGGGAAGAGGAAAGCAAATAAATGCATAAATAAAATAAATAATATAAATAAATAATATATTAAACAACCCTCCCCACCCTGTAATGAGAACGTAGCTCGGAGAATGGGATCGACGCTTGTTAACCATTGTTAACTAGTATTTTCAGTCCTGACCGCTCTTAGGCTATGTATAGTTCCTTTTTTTAATGCATTTTCTATACATTAATAAAAGATACTGAAGGAGTGAGCTGTGTGCCTGTCTGGGAGTGGGATGGGAACAGGGCCCTGGTACATCCAAGCCCAGCAGCATCACAGCCCCGACCTCATGCCAAGAGAGGACATGCATGTTCTGTCCCTCATCCTTGGTTATCCCATGGCAGAAGGACCGTGGGGGGCTTGTTAACACAGATTCACCTTCGAACCTGGAGGAACAGAGCCAGATGAGAGACCAAGCACATGCAGTGGGATTAAAAAAACAGAGGAAGTTTTGGGGCAGCCCAACTTTGGCATCTCCATCCTTGTAGGTGGCTGGAGAAAGTCTTGAGCAACCCCATCCAAACCCAGGGCTGTCTTGGGCAGGAGGCAAGACCAGAGGCTCCCAAGTCCCCCCTGCCCCAACTATCCTGTTAAAAAAATAGCAATAAAGTGACCATGAAGACAGGTCAGTGCAGCCAATCCATTAAGCACAGGAAGGCAGGGAGCTGCACTTTGGCCTCAGCCCAGCACGAGATGTTTTGGTAATAATTTTAGCTGCTCCCACGAGCTAGAGAGGCTCTTGGCTCTGCAGTTTCCAGCCAGAGAAAGCAAAGCCGTGGTATGAATGCTTGGGAGCGGAGAGAAACAACCTTGAAATCTTCAGTCACAGCCATTCTCCCAATTTAAACAGCAGTCTATTCCCTACGTGATGGAAACCCCACCAAAAAAACAGATTGGAAGGCTAGTTTCAGAAGAACATGATCCCAGTGGAAAATAAAAAAAGAAAAAACAAACAAAACCCCAAAGCTGATTAGCAAAACTCGCTGGGACAAGTATGACTTTCAGAAGATTTTGAAACTCTCCTCTCATTTCACACACAGACTTTATTTAAACCTCCTCATCTTAGGTTTTCTTGTTTGACACGTAGCCAGACAGGATGAGAAAGCCTGAAAGAAGCTCTTCCGCCACACCACTTCAATATTTTCTAAATTTAATTTCAGAGAGACAAAACAGGGGAGTTTGCTTTGCAGCAGCTTCTCAACTTCTCTTTCTCGGTCCGATTTGCGAGACACAAAGAAGGGAAGTTGTGGGCGTTGGGGATCCCCCACCGTGGTCACGACCCTCAGTACACCCAAAGCCAAGCCTGAAGCCTGATGGACTCAACTGTCTGGATTAAATGAACTTCTTTGTGTCTGAAGGGAGTCAATGCCACGGAAGACCCTTCAGGCAAGCCCAGGGGCTCTCCCCTGTGGGTGGAGGAGCTGAGGGATGGAGATGGGGTTGGAATGGGGAGGAAGGGTTACCTGCACCAGCACCTGTCATCCCAGTCTCGCCAAGCTTGGCCAAGCAGTTGACCTAACTCAGTGGGTTTCATTTCTGGTCCCTTAGAGGAGAGCAGTACCCTCCACTGCAACCCTCATTCAGCACATCTGGGGCCAAGTGAGGCCCTCAGCACCTCCATTTCCTGCAGAGCACCCCAAAAAAAGCTCACCTGGAGGACACACAGTCCTCCTATTGCAATAACCAATCTCGAGAGGTGGGCACATATCACTCAGAGGGTGGTACCCAGAGAAGGCAGGTGCGTGGGGAGCTACAGCATCTCTCTGGGCCATAACCCACCTCCCAAAATGAGAGTCACAGCCCAACTCCATGTTTCAGATGGGATGAGAAGGGGGTGAGGGCTGGCACAAGCCCTTTCCTAAGTGCCCCAAGTTTTACTTAAGCCAAGGAGGTGTTTTGCTCCCTGCACTGACCCCTGGGGAGCTCCTGCCCCATCACAGGTGCCCTCATGGCTCTGGCCCCCTCTGCCCTTGTGCAGCTCAAAGCCATCACTATAATCTAGACACAGTCCTGCAGTACCACACGTGGTGGGACCTCACATTTCCAGGCTCTCCAAGAGCATGCCTTCCCGGGCACACCACATTCCTCCTCGGGCACTTCACACCCCACGGAGCATCACAGCCCCCCCCAGCTGCACTTTATACAGGGATATTTCATCACAGCCCTCTCACAAAGTCCCCTTCTTGCATGAGCGATGCTCGGGAACTTTGTACACCCTGCTGATGTTTGCTGGTGGAACAAAGGTCCTCAGCAAGGACCTTGGGCATCCATCCCAAACCCAGAGCTTGAGCAACACATTCCCAACAACACAACCTGCAACCTCGGCCCCCAAAACCCCGAGGGAAACGCTCAACCAGGAGCACGGCAGGAAGAGGGGCAATGCCTGCAGGAGCAAGGCTGGAGCAGGTCGATGAAGGGGCAGCCTTGTGCCACAAATTCACAGTTGCTTTATACCCTGAGGGATGGGATTTTTATAGCACCATCTTTAACATTTTCAGATTTTAATTCCTCCTCGTAAGACTGGATGTTTTTATCATCCCTTTAAAAACCTCATTCCCGTTTTTATATTTTTAACTCCTGGGGCTACAAGCTTTAAAGCTTAGTTATGTAGAGTGTAAAAAAAAATTATGAATTATCTGTTTTAATCAAATCTAAATGTGGGGCTTTTAAATTTCATTGATTTGTCCTCTCATCCTGGGATGAGGAGTGCTGTGAGTAGCAGCCCACAGGCTTATCCCCCTTCCCTGCACTACAGCCAGCAATTTTTCTGCTTCTAACTTGTTTCAATAAGCATAGAATCAATCCTAGAGTTGGACTGGGGAGGACCTTCAAATATCATCTAGTTCCAAGCCCCTGCCCGTGGCAGGGGCAACTTCCACTAGACCAGGCTGCTCAGAGCTCCATTCAACCTGGCCTTGGACACTTCCAGGGAAGGGGCAGCCACAGCTTCTCTGGGCAACCTGTGCCAGGGCCTCCCCACCCTCACAGGGAAGAATTTCTTCCTAATATTCAATCCAAACTTGCTCTCTGTCAGTGTGAAGCCATCCCCCCTTGTCCTGTCATTCCAGGCCCTTGTCCAAAGTCCCTCTCCAGCTCTAAGAGCCCCTTTAGGCAATGGAAGGCTGCTAAAAAATCCTCATCAAATACATCATATTTGAGACAAGATCCTGGCTGTGATTAGGGACATCCTTACAGCAGTGCTTCTCTCTCTCCCAGTGTTTTGGATTGCTTTCTGCTGTCAGCAGGGATGTCAAGGTTTGCAGCCCTCCCACAGCAGGCTTATTCCCAGCAGCATGGCTAATCCTCTTGTTCGCAGTCAGGTTAGCCCCCAGCACTGCTCCTCGGCAGGGCCCAGCAGGGCTGCTGGCTGGCAGGGCGGAGCACACCAGGATGTGGTGGGAACACAAACTGCCTCTGTTCACCATGACACACACCCTTGTCCTCACACTGTCCCCTGCATTTGGTGACACCACAACAAAAGAGGGGGCTGAAGGAAGTAACTCTGCAAACGGTTATGAGAAAAATCCTCCCTAAAAGTGAGAGAAGGAGGGGGATGAAGTGGGAAATCCTCCCTGTAAGAATTTCAGGAGCAGGCGTTGGAAGCAGGCAGTTGGGAGAGGAGTAGCAGAGGGGATGGGGCTGGAGAAGCATCACTGGCAGCACTGTCCCCCTGCTCCTGGGGACAGGCTCTGTCCCTCCTCCTGGTCCCACGGCCCCTTGCTGCACTCCAGTCATGCCAAAAACAGCCGGCATCTGCCTGTTTACCCCTCGTATAGGTTCCTCAACCTCAACCCAAGGCTGCCTCTCCCCCCTTCATGAGGGGGACTTTTCCCCTCCAAATACAGGAACCTTCTCTCCCTCACAGAGAGGCAGAAAGAGGCCAAACAACCCCAGGAGAAAGGTCTTGGGTGTTTTTTCCCTCTTTCACCCACCACGATTTGCATTTCACTCTCGGTTCCCTCCTGGGGGGTGGGAGAGGGCCCACCAAGCCCTGACACCCAGCTGCATCCTCCTCACGAAGCCCCTGGTAGCAAACAAGATGAGGAGCAGGAAGACTTTGAACTGTGAAGGGCAAAGGTCAAAGAGTCCCATTCCCAGGCAGGAGCTAAGCCCCAAGGGTAGCACAGAACATCCCAACTGCTCCAGTGCCACCAGCCAAAATCCTCATGCTCTCCTGAGCCGAGGGACATCAGCTCAGCACAGATCTCTGGGAACAGCTTCCCCCATGGCAGTGGCTTATGGAGAGAAACAGATAATAAAAATAATCAAAATACTAATAAAAATTTGGCAGCTGCTTTTCATTTAAAAGCAGGAGTGGCTCTCCCTGCCCGGCTCAGCCGGCACCAAGGGGCAGCCACTGATTGCTCCTCAGCATCGTGGGGCTGAGCCTAAGGAAGGACTGTGCCAGAGGGGACAGCTGGCACCACTAGTTTTTCACCTAAAAATCAACATGGGCAGATCAGATCTGACACTCATCTGGCATGGGACACCCCTAGGAGCAGCTGCTCCAGGAGGAGGCACGAGCCACCACTTCCCACAACTGGGCACACACACTGGTCCTTGGGGGCACCGGGCTGTGCCCGAGCGTCACTCACTCCTCTGCCTTTGGTTCACACCTTCCACAAAATTCAGCCCCTGGATGCTGATGGTGACCCCATTTCCATGCTGAGGAAAGGAGCACCCCCGTTCACCAATGGGTTTTTCCTCCCCTGGCCTTCACGTAACTGATCCTTGAGCCGTTCCTAAATGGGAAGGCACTACGTCACTCTGCCGGGACTCGGCCACGCCTGGCACTTTCCCCACCCCCTGGGGTGTCTCCTCTCCCCCTCGCCTGCCATCAGTGCTGCCCGTAGGATTTCCTCAGGAAGGAGTTCCTGAAGGCTCACGCGCACAAAACAATCAGCTCTAAACCAACACAAAGCCCCATCACTCTCCTCTCGAACACCAAAACATGCCCTGAGCAGACACGTACCCTCCTCCTCCTCCTCAGCCCGTCGCAGGTCCCTGTACCCCAGATTTCTCAACACAAGCATCAAGCAGGATTTGAGAAGGCACCTGAGGACCCCACCTTGCTCCCCACCCCGGCATTCCTCTCCCCTAGGGAGGGAGGATTCCACAGATCCGGGCACAACTCAGCAAGCCCAGCTGCAAAGCCTCCCAGGTGATGGGTGGGGAAGAGGCACCCCAAAAACTCACTGGTTTGGGGGCA